TTCTTCTTTTCTTTAGACTAGCCAAACCCAAGCCCCGCAGCCGTTCTTTGTATGTTTTAGTCTCCAGGCCTTGGATCATCTTAGTTGCTCTTCTCTGATTTTTTTCCAAACGCTCAACACCTTTTTTGTGATATGGTGACCAAAATTGGCTGCAGTATTCCAGGTGTGGTCTCACTAGGGTTTTATAAAGCGATTGGGCAGATTCTAAAAATCTCTACATTTCAGTACATTAGTTAACACGACAGCACAGAAGTGATTAGCAGTGTTCTTCAAATGTTTCTGTGCTTCCCTCGCCTTCCTCCTCCATAGCAAATAGCCCAGGCAGCCTAAGGCTACTCTTTGAGGAAGGAGCTTTTGGTGTGGGGCTGACGTCCCCTGGATCACCCCACACAGCTCAGGGAAGCTCTTTGCTTTTGAGGGCACCCAAGTAAGAGACGTAGGGTTGGGGATATAGGTATTTCTCAACTTACGACCGCAATGGAGCCCAAAGTTTATGAGATATTTGTTAAGTGAACGTTGCCCCATTTTACGACCTTTCTTGTCTCCGTCATTAAATGGGTCGCTGCACTTGATTAGTTAGTAACAGGGTGGTTAAGTGAATCTGGCTTCCTCCACTGGCTTTGCTTGTCAGAAGGTTGCAAAAGGGGATCATGTGACCCCAGGACACAGCGACGGTCATAACTAGGAACCAGTTGACGAGCGTCCGAATTTTGATCACAGGATCCTGGGAATGCTGAAACGGTCATAATGGTGAAATAGCGTCCTAAGTGACTTTTGTCAGTGCCGTTTTAACTTTGGACAGTCACTGAACGGACTGTTGTAAGTCGAGGACTACCTGTACACATGAAGGAAGACATTGGTGTCCGAACAGTGCAGTGGATAGTAACTTTAGTGGGGTGGAGAGAGGATGCAAGGCATATCTGGATTGTTTTACAAAGCAGAAGATCTTGGAATAAGCTGCCCAGTCATATGTAAATACCCTATTCCCAGGTTGGAAAATTAAAAATTGGAGTGGTTAAGTTATCTAAAAGGCCCCATGAATTACCTTCGGCCAGGAGAATCCATGCTATGGAGGCTGAAATGGAAGTAGTTGAAGATTGATGGCTTTTCCTAGCAACTGCCTGGAACCAGCTTTATTAAGGGTGGCTGCAACAGATGGAAATCAATAGGCAAATCTGGCCAGCTAAACTTCCATTATTGATTTATGCCTATTAGTTAGGCCCTCGGAGGCTCGCAGCCTCTCTTGGTAGAAAGTTAATAGGGAGAACTACATCACAAGCCAAGAAGGCTGGAGGTAAATTATCTGAATGAAAGTTGTAGGGTATCCCCAGCATTGTAAGAACCAGAGATCAATAATTCAAATAGATGTTTTCTGGCACTTATTTCTCCTTTCTTTCTTTCTTTCCTTCCTTCCTTCCTTCCTTCCTCCCTCCCTTCTTTCCTCCCTCCCTCCCTCCCTTCTTTCCTTCCTTCCTCCCTCCCTCCCTTCCTTCCTTCCTTCCTTCCTTCCTTTTTACGTCTCCAAGATAATGATAAGATTTATTGCACCGAACATTAAACCAAATCAATTTCATCTCTTTATTTAAGGGTCTAAAAATAGGGGCCAAGCTACCACCTTTGTTTAAATAATGGGCTTATCGACATTCACTGATGTCCATTATGTGCCTTAATGTCGCAATATTCAATAGCTTTGTGCAGTTCAACTCCCTCGCTTTCGATAATTGCTTTGTGGGTGGAAGCGATTTTCCCGTTGTTGTCTTAAGTGGGCCTCGGTCTATTGCATTCAGCTGATGACACCCCGAAGCAGACAAAGCACACAGACTGAAATGGGTAAAGGAGGGATAGCCAAATTATCCATTCTGCACCATTAGAAAAGTGGGGCTATTTTGTCCTCATTAGCTTGTTCAGAGCTAGCACCAACAGGCATCAGCATCAGGACTATTCAGAATAACAGAAGAGTTGGAAGGGACCTTGGAGGTCATCTAGACCAACCCTTTGTTCAAGCAGGAGACCTAGACTATTTCAGACAAATGGCTGTCCAGTTTCTTCTTAAAAGCCTCCAGTAATGGAGCACCCTAACCACTGAAGGCAAACCGTTCCACTGATCAATTGTTCTCATTGTCAATAAATTTTTACCAACGTGCATTCTGTTCCTTTTTGCTGTTGCCCTAATTACAAGTTGTCCTCGAATTATGACGTGATCTAACCCGCAATTATGACCCAAAGCCGTGACAATGATTAAGCGAGTCATGTGACTGCACCCAATTTTACACTTTTTTTATCACTGTCATTCAGCGAAGGTGTCTGTGCAAATGCCTTGAACATTAAGCGAAGGCCACAGTTGTTAGGCAATCCTATCGTTCACTAGGGGGAGCTTTTTGCTGGAAACCAGAAGTAAACTCCAGTTTCCAGAAAAACCATTATAAATCACAGTCAGATGACCATAGGATACCACAAATTTATTTATTTATGAGACTTATATACCGCTTTAAGTGCAAGCACTCTCTAAGCAGTGTACACCAGTAAGCAATGTATATATATATTTACATTGCCCCAACAATCTGGGTCCTCATTTTACCTACCTCGGAAGGATGGAAGGCTGAGTCAACCTTGAGCCGGTGAGATTTGAACCGCTGACCTGCTGAACACAGTCAGCTAAAGTGGCCTGCAGTACTGCACTCTAACTGCTGCGCCACCTCGGCTCTTGCAAATGGTCATACATGCAGGCTGATTGCCAAATCCAGCCCAAATCCAGTTGTGTGAGCATGCTGGGGGGGGGGGAGCCAGCTGTTAGAACTTTGAAGCTGGGTTGTAAGTAACTTTTTCGGGTTTTGTTGTAACTTCAATCAGTCATTAAGCAAACTGTCATAAGCTGAGGACTATTGTTTTTTTTTTATTTTAAATTTTTATTTTTAACCAACAAGACAAAACAGAACAAAGCAACACATAACACACATACACACACAAATATATACCTCCTTTTTTTTACAGCAATTACATAACGGTAATCTAATATTTACATTTCCCCCTTATTCTTCTTTAAATATTTGTCCTTATAGCCCCATTATTTCTTATTTACATTTTTCTTCCTTCATGTGTACACATATTTTCACTTTTGACCTTTCCATATTTATTCTCCTCTATTATTTCTAGTCTCCAAACAGACATACACCTTGTTCCATACTATATAATACTCTGTGTCTTCCTTTTCTTTTATCTCTTTTGTTAATTTGTCCATCTCAGCACAGTCCAGGATTTTTCTTATTACTTCTTGCTGAGGACTATTGTACTTGCTTCCCTAAGAATTAGGAGCAGGACCAATCGCTTACTGTTCCTTCTTTTGCTCGGCAAAGATACCTTAGGTCCAAGAGGCAACCTCTTCCAAAATTTTTAATCCGCACTGGATTGATCTATTGCTTATAAATCTTGCTTTTTTCAAGAGAGGAACAGTATTGCTCCAATGAGTATATCTGCTAGCTACACAGTGATCACATATTTAACATAATTTAGAGCTTGACCCCAAAAGAAATAAGGTTAGAATTAATCTGGCTAGCAAGAGATATTATACTATACACGCAAACATGATTGGATTTGATGTACCTTATTGTTATTTGTTTTCATTTAGTTAATTGGTCAATGTAATTGTTTCTAATGAATAAAACAAATACATATTTTTTCAGGCTTAATTAGGCTTTCAAGGGATTGCTGATCTGTGTCTTTTCAATTATCATTGAACGCTGCAAATATTTTAGGCTCTTCTACGTTTCATCCGTATTTTGCTCAGCAGTACGTTGCAAAACAAAATGGAGTTGAGTGTTCTGCTCTGAATTTCTCTGTTCCCATCAGAGGCTGCCAATGAGCGAGAACGAAGACAGGGAAAAAAAGCAGAATGAACGTATCTCTTTGATCCTTCCTCTATTTCATATTTGCCCATTTTTATATGGTGGGCTTCGATTGTGTATTGCAAAAGGTAGAGAATCTGAATGCTCTGACCACCAAGAACTTATGCAAAATCTCAGGTCACCATCATATTAACTAATTAAGAATTAAAATGCAAGTTATCGACCTTGGCTTTTTCAAGATGAATTTTGTTTTGGATGGATAACTAGGACGGCACTTATAAAAAAACATGTTGTGGTGTAGTATTGTCACTCCCCGGCAGGAGTGCTTTTGTTCAACATTTCACACAGCATGCTCTCCTCTAGGATATCACACACATAACACACACAAGTAGTCTTTGACTCAACAATTTGTTTAGTGGTCGTTTGAAGTTACAACGGCATTGAAAAAAGTGAGTTATGACCGTTTTTCACACTTACAACCATTGCGGCATCCCCGTGGTCACGTGATCGAAATTCGGACACCTGGCAACTGACTCATATTTATGACGGTTGCCGTGTCCCGGAGCTATGTGATCCCCTTTTGCGACCTTCGGACTCAAAATCAGCGGGAAAGTCAGATTCACTTAACAAACGTGTTACTAACTTAACACCCGTGTTACTTAACACCCGCAGTGATTCACTTAACAACAAAGCAAGAAAAGTTGTAACAAAACTCACTTAAGAAATGTCTCACTTAGTAACAGGAAATTATGGACTCAATTGCGGTGGTAAGTTGAGGACGGCCTGTACAGAATTCCCCATTTTTATTTTTTTCCAGTGGATATTTTGTGTTCTGTGACAATTAAGCATGCCTGCTCCGTGGGCAAGCATTGGCTGCTGAAGATTCTGGAAGGAAGAGATCAACCCCGATTGCTCTTTAGAAGGCCAGATCCTGAAGTTAAAACTCAAGTAGTTTGGCCACCTAATGAGAAGGAAGGGCTCACTGGAGAATGCTGGGAAAGATGGAGGGCAATAGAAGAAGGAGACAACAGAGAAGGAGGTGGCTGGATGGAGTCACCGAAGCAGTAGGCGTGAGCTTCAATGGACTCCGGAAGATGATAGAGGACAGGAAGACTTGGAGGAACATGGTCCATGGGGTCGCGATGGATCGGACACGACTTCGCAACTAACAACAACAACATTTATTTATGAGATTTTTATCCTGCCTTTAAGTTACTATAAGTAACTCAAAGCGGCAGACATGCATAATAGCCCTTCGTCTTCCTAACTTCCCCACAAAAAAAACCCTGTGAGGAAGATTGGTCTGAGAGAGAGCAATGGGTACAAAGTCACCCAGCCAGTTTTCATTCCTAAGGCAGGACTAGAACTCACAGCTTCCTGGTAATTGGCCCAAAGTTACCCAGCTGGCTTTGACTCCTATCCTTCCGAGGTCGGTAAAATGAGGACCCAGATTGCTGGGGGGGGCAAGATGCTGACTCTGAAAAGTGCTTAGAGAGGGCTGTCAAGCAATGTGAAGCGGTAAGTCTAAGAGCTTTTGCTATTTGATGCCTAAGGCCGGACTAGAACTCACAGACTCCTGGTTTCTAGGTCAACAGCTTCACCACTAGATCAAATTGGCTTTTTTTCTGGGCGTCTCAGCTTCTTTCAGGCAAACAGTATCTTTCTTCCTGTTTCACCGTGGAGCCACTGCAAGGAGTTCACATAATTGTTATTTTCATCCGTTAAAAGTTATTCAGGAATGGTGCTTTCTCACCTCGGCCTGAGGATGGACTTTGGGACTCGGACCACAACAGGTCTTCACGGAAGGCCAGCGCAAGACTCGATAGAGGAAGACAGACCGGAGGGCCAGCCCTACATTCTTCTTCCTCAAAGCATAGACCAGCGGGTTGGCCAAAGAGTTCAGATGAGAGAGCAAGACAGCCAGATGTTCCAGAGACTCGTACTGTTCACAGCTGGGACACAGCAGCTGGATGAAGTAGATCAGGTGCAGCGGCATCCAGCAGAGGAAGAAGACGCCCACTAGGAGCAGAAGGGTGCAAGCCATCTGCATTTCCTTCCTCTTGGCTGGCCACAGGGGCCGCGACCGGAAATGCTCTCGGACGACACGGAAGATGTCAGCGTAGATACCCAGCATGGCCGCCAAGGGCAGCAAGGTGCAGATTAAGAAAATGAAATAAACCAGAAACTCGGGGCTAAAGATGGAGGTGAAAGAACAGCGGCCCAGATGCTCGATTTGGCCGTGACCGTAGCTCAGATTCTTTGGATCGCGATAGGCTTGAGAGAGAAGGTCTCTGGGCGGTTTATCCTGGATGACAAAAACGAAGACGGCTTTCTGGAAGCTGATGGCCGTCGTCTTGTTTCTGGTCTCTCCGTATTGCTGAAATCGGTTCCATCCCATCATCGGGGAGAGGCCAATCAAGAGGGACAGCAACCAGCAGAAGGCCACGACGATCATCACCCAGCGCTTCTTCACGTGCAGGGGGTAGCTGTCCAATGAAAGACATCCATTAGTATCTTTGGATGGGTAGAAGGCAGAATAAAAGAATCACAGAGTTGGAAGGGACCTCGGAGGTCATCTAGTCCAGCCCCCTGCTCAATCAGGAAACTCTACACCAGGGGTAGGCCACCTTGGCTTTTTTGTGACTCGTGGACTTCAACTCCCAGAATTCCTGAGCCAGCCATGCTGAGGGGAAAGGGAGAGGTTTCCAAGCTGAGCCAAGCTGGCTCAGGAATTCTGGGAGTTGAAGTCCACAGTCATAAAACGGCCTAGGCCTAGGCCAGGGATAGGCAACCTTGGCTCTTTTATGACTCGTGGACTTCAACTCCCAGAATTCCTGAGTCAGCGTGGCTCAGCTTGGAAACCTCTCCCTTTCCCCTCAGCATGGCTGGCTCAGGAATTCTGGGAGTTGAAGTCCACGAGTCATAAAAGAGCCAAGGTGGCCTACCCCTGGCCTACACCATTCCAGACAAATGGTTGTCCAGTCTCTTCTTAAAAGCCCCCAGTGTTAAAAACAAAAAAAACACACAACTCCATTGTTAAAACCTGCAGCAGACCCAAAACCGCTCAGTGTTGCTGGGAATGAGGCAGCAATGTAAACTAAATCAATTAGTTCATTCACTATAATTAATATCACAGTCAGTCAATTGCAAAAGACAGCTTTACTTGGAACAGCTTACATCCTGTGACAATACTTTTCATAATATTAAATAACAACATCTGCCTATCCCAGGTCCTGGCTAGGGAATTCTGGGAGTTGAAGTCCACACGTGACCTCAACCCCCAACTGCTTGTCCTCCAGCCACTAGTGATATAGTTAATAAATCATGGTTAGACAATGTAATGTCTGAACCGCTGCTGATAAATTAGCTCCATCCTCGCCTTCTCTTAAATTAAAACAAGAACACGGTTGTCCCAAGGAGAGCCACTTAGAAACCTGTTTTGTAGGTTTTTATCACTGTTGTACACCATTAGCTTTCCTCTGCCCTTACAAACCAGGCAGATAGCCAATAAAATAGCTAGCGACCAATTTAAGTGGCTGAAAAACAGATGATGTTTACTGGCTTTTTCCCAACCTCAAGACAGCTCATCCTGAAAAAGACAATCTTATTATTGTCCTAAAATACAAGACGATAAAATATATAAATGGCATTGTTAAAGAGAGAGGTGAGTTGAGACCAAATATTCCTTGGGCACAGCCATTCTTCTTCCATTGCACAGATTGATCTCAGGTATGAAAACAAGCAAACCAAGATGAGTTGCCCTCAATTCTCTAAACAGAAAGAGGGGGAGGGTGATTCACTACAGAATCCTCGACTTACGATCACATTGAGAACAGAACAGAATAGAATAACAGAGTTGGAAGGGACCTGGGAGGTCTTCTAGTCCAACCCCCTGCTCAGTCAGGAAACCCTAGACCACTTCAGACAAATGGTTGTCCAGTCTCTTCTTAAAAACTTCCAGGGAGCCCAAATTCGAGCCCAAAACTTACATTGCTAAGCGAGACAGCTGTAAAGTGAATTTTGCCACATTTTACAACTTTTCGTGCCACTGTTGTTAAGCAAATCACCACAGTTTCTTAAATTAGTCACACGGTGGTTAAGTGAATCTGGCTTCCCTATTGACTGCGCTGGTCAGAAGGTTGCAAAAGAGGATCACGTGATTCCCCCGGGGACACTGCAACGATCACAAATACAGGCCAGTTGCCAAGTGTCCAAATTTTGATCACGTGACCCTAGGGATGCTGCAATGGTCATAAGTGTGAGAACTGGTCGTAACTCACTTTTTTCGGTGCCATTTTAATTATGGTCACTCAACAAATGGTTGCAATCTAGAGAAAGGTCAAGTATTTCCAAATGCCTGTTTCCTGTCTTTGTCCCCTGAATGTTGGTTCAAGTAAAAACATAGGAAGAACGTATGTTGTTGAAAACATACCAAGAACGGTGACAGGAACTGAGTATGGCTAATCTAGAGAAAAGAAGGACGAGGGGGGGACATGATAGCAATCTTCCAGTATCTCAGGGGCTGCCCCAAAGAAGAGGGAGTCAAGCTGTTCTCCAAAGCACCTGAAGGCAGGACAAGAAGCAACGGGTGAAAAGGCAGGACAAGAAGCAACAGGTGGAAACTAACCAAAGAAAGAAGCAACCTAGAACTAAGGAGAAACTTCCTGACAGTTAGAACAATTAACCAGTGGAACAACCTGCCTCCAGAAGCTGTGAATGCTTCATCAATGGAGGCTTTTTAAAAGAGACTGGACAGCCACTTGTCTGACGTGGTATAAGGCAGAGGCCCCCCAACCTTTTGGACAGTAGGGACCGGTTCCGTGAGAAAGGTTTTTCCATGGACCGGAGGGATGTGCAGTTTCTCATGCAGTCTGCATCCCACAGATGGGGCTTCATTTGCTTGTGTGGCCCAGTTTCTGGCATTCTATGGCTCGGTACCGGTTCACAGACCAGGGGTTGGGGACCCCTGACATAGGGTCTTCTGATTCAGCAGGGGTTGGACTAGAAGACCTCTAAGCTCCCGTCCAGCTCTATTCTGATTGATTGAAACGTGTTCCACTGATGGACATGCCCAGTTGCGAAAAAATACTGGACTACAATAAGAAAATGGATCAAAGAAATAATAGACCAGCCCTTAGACTGGAACCCAGAGATCTTTTTGTTGGGTATTTTCAACAGAAAATATAGTAAAGAAATATGGTATTTAATTTTACATATAATAACGGCGGCAAGAATAGCATATGCACAGTGCTGGAAAAATGAGAATATACCATCAGAGGAAGAAGTGATAAGAAAAATCCTGGACTGTGCTGAGATGGACAAATTAACAAAAAAGATAAAAGAAAAGGAAGACACAGAGTACTAACATGGAACAAGTGGTATGACTGATATTAGAGGAGAATAAATATGGAAAGGTCAAAAGTGAAAATATGTGTATAATAATGTATAATAATAATAATATGAATTATTCTTAATAAGAAGTAGAATATGAAGGAAGAAAAATGTAAATAAGAAACAACGGGGCAATAAGGACAAATATTCTAAAGAAGAATAAGGGGGGAAATGTAAATAATAGAAGATTACTCTTACGTAATTGCTGTTTTAAAAGAGGGGGAGGAGTATATACTGTGTGTGTATGTGTGTTATGCTTTGTTTTGTTTTGTTGGTTAAAAATAAATAAATAAAATAAAATAAATTTTAAAAAAGGAAATACGTTCCACTGGCATCTGCAGAACCTCCTAGAACCATCCAGATGGCCGTGACTATGGCTAACCCCTCTCTCTCTCTCTCTCTCTCTCTCTCTCTCTCTCTCTCTCTCTCTCTCTCTCTCTCTCACACACACACACACACACACACACACACACACACACACACATTCAAGCTTCACACACTGGGATTCTGATCCAAGAACATGACTTGCCTGTTGGAAAACTTGAGCTTCAAGTGAGTATGGATGGCTATCACCAACAAGAGGAGGATGGAGAACTGGGTGGTGACCAGTGGGAAGCAGGTGAGGAAGAGACAAGTGTAGAAATACAAGGTATACTCCATGCTGAGCACCATGGAGAAGGGGATGGCTAGGGCGCCCACGCCCAGGTCAGCCACCGCCAAGGAGACAATCAGATAGTTGGTGATACATCGTAGTTCCTTGTGCAGGTAGATGGTGAGACACACCAGCAAGTTGATTGTGATGATGGCCATGGCTAGGATGCTCTCAAGGACCACAAAACCAATATCCATGGCAGCTCTTGTTCTTGATGGCAAAGTCACCTGTTCTTGCCGATAACTTGATCTGTTCCATCCAAATATCTTAAATCCAAAAGGCCCGTCAACATCCAGCTATTTCTCTGACTTCTGCAGTGTGAAATCTTGGCTCTTTGCTTTCCATGAGCAATAAGAGAGACCTATGTCTGTTTACTCAGTGCATTGCCAACCCATAGATCAGATGTGTCATGGGCACAAGATAACTTTTTATGTGTGATAGTGCATTAACCTCTGTGTATTAGTGATGTATTTCTAGAGTAAACCAATCAATGTAAGAGCTTAAGTGGATTGCGGTAGGCAGAACTAGAGATAATAAAACAACCTGAACTGAAAGATATAATTTGCAGGGGGAGGTTATCATGCCAATTCTGGATTAAAACATCCCTTGTATTAAACATCTACCTTTCAAATATAACCGGTGAGAAAAGCAGAGTAAGATTAGAATTAAATTGTGGGTGTGAGTGTGTAAATAAGTACAAAATAATTGGGTAACCGCCTTGTTTAATTGCCCAATAATATTAAGGTTGGAAAACCATGCAGGAATTGATCCTGGCTTGCTACCATCTTCAAATGACATATTATTTCTATGCAGTGATAGATACACTCAAAGGGTTTCTGGAGGATGGGGTCCAAAAAGTCAAAATGGCAGCCATCATGAGGATGTGATCTAAGATCCTCTCATTTGTATACAACACATAAAAATAGGAGGAGCATTGATTGACCACCATCTTGGCTTGGTAGACCATTCCTTTTGGTCCCTATTGCCCCATGCCATTATCTCTTTTTCCTAAGCAGTCTTACCTTTGCCACCATCTTTTGTCCATTTATTTCTAAGAGGCAGCTTGGTCTAGTGCAGGGGTAGGCAACCTTGGCTCTTTTATGACTCGTGAGCTTCAACTCCCAGAATTCCTCAGCCAGCATGGCTCAGCCTGGAAACCTCTCCCTTTCCCCTCAGCATGGCAGGCTCAGGAATTCTGGGAGTTGAAGTCCACGAGTCATAAAAGAGCCAAGGTTGCCTACACCTGGTCTAGTGGTTAAAGAAACTAGGATACTGTGAGTTCTAGTCCAAATCCGCCTGGGTGATTTTGGGCCAATCACAAGAAGACGGTGAGTTCTAGTGCCACCTTAGGCATGAAGGCTGATTGGATGACTTTGACCCAGTCCCTCCCTCCCTCAGTCCATCCCACCTCACAGGGTTGTTGTGGTGGTGAGGAAAATAGGAGGAGGGAGGAGTGTTAGGTGTGTTTGCCACCTTGAATTGTTTATAAAACTTAGAAAAGCAGGATTAAAAAAGAATAAATCTAATCTTTCCTTTATGTAGCTCTCTTTCTCCTCCCATTTTTATTCCTCATTCCTTTACCAGTTTTGGATTCTCTTCTAAGTAAATATTTTGTTTTTTTTTTAAAAAAAAATCAGTTTCAGTTTGCCTTTTGTAAATGAGGAGTGAAAATTGCTCAAAATAACACCCACTGGGGAGGATGTGTGGAATATAGAAGGTATCCAGCAAATCATCAGGAATACAGAAGGTGTCCAGCAAATATTCAGTTTTATGCTCAGGCAGGAAACCCTACACCATTTCAGACAAATGGCTGTCCAATGTCTTCTTAAAAACTTCCAGTGTTGGAGCATTCACTGCTTCTGGAGGCAGGTTGTTCCACTGGTTAATTCTTCTCACTGTCAGGAAGTTTCTCCTTAGTTCTAGGTTGCTTCTCTCCTTGATTAGTTTCCATCCATTGCTTCTTGTCCTGCCTTCAGGCGCTTTGGAGAATAGCTTGACTCCCTCTTCTTTGGGGCAGCCCCTGAGATATTGGAACACTGCTATCCTGTCCCCCCTCGTCCTTTTCCTTTTTCCCCTTAAACTAGAGACGTACCCAGTTCCTGCTGAATAAAAATGAGCTTCTGCAAAAGAAAGATGTGGAAATCAAAATCAACTTCTGGCTGGGGTTTTGCCAGAAGCAACTTGCTGATTTTGCCAGAAAAGGCTGGTCCAGAGAGAATCCCTTGTCTGATAAAGCTATTCTGTTTTTGTTTTTTTCCCTTTCCTTTGTAGCATGTTGCTTAATGGCACTCTCCAGGTGTAAATGAGTTTCTATTTTTTTCTCTCATTAGATTCGGGTTAACTGCTTATTTTTAGTATAGGCACAGACTGCGGAAATAGACTAACTGCATGCCAAGCCTTCCCTTCTACAAATAAATTCGGTACGTCCCTAATGGCCATTCCCCCACGTCAGGTGTCTACCTAAATTGGAAACCCCCATGCATTCGGGCTCTTTTTCCTAATTATTGAAGGAAAAATACAGCTCATCGGGGAAAACGCACACTAAAATCGACGGCAAGCTTGTTAGGAAGATTCTGGAGGTGGACAGATCTGTACAGATTGCTAACTGCCTTTCCGAGAAACAGGAGACCAATTAGAATCAGCCGGATAATCCCACTACCAAAATTGGCGGTGAAAAGAAGGGGGGTGGAATTTCTCCATCATTCCCTATTGCTTCATCGTTAATATCTTAGGATTTCATGTGTTGAGGGCCTTCCTGCAGGCTTTGCAAATAATAGCAACATTCCTCTGGAGACTTTCCTTGCAAGCTGCTTGGATAAGGGGGGGGGGGGGCGAGGGAATCAGAGACATATATAAGGGACTTCTCCATGTCACCAGTGGCTTACTGCAGGCAAAAAGTGAACATAGACTGGAGTTCTTCCAGTTTGCTTTTTCCCGCGATAGGGCTGGGACTTTAAAAGGATGGGCTACCTTTCTCGGTTGTGAGCTGTGCAGAGAGCACTAAAGTGACTAAGAATCATGGGATATACAGCATCTATGCATTTAAAGATAAAGGTTTGCCCTGTCTAGTAGTGTCCAGCTCAAAGGGGCTGTACTCATCTGTTTCTTAGCCAAGGGCAGGAGTAGGCAACCTTGGCTCTTTTATGACTCGTGGACTTCAACTCCCAGAACTCACTTAACAAATGTTTCACTTTGCAACGTATATTTTGGGCTGAATTGTGGTTGTAAGTTGAGAACTATCGGTGTGATATTTCTTGCAGCCAACTTTGTGTCCTTGAAATATTTTGGATTACCACTTTTTGTTGTTGTTGTTAGTTGCGAAGTTGTGTCCGACCCATCGCGACCCCATGGACAACGTTCCTCCAGGCCTTCCTGTCCTCTACCATCTTCTGGAGTCCACTTAAGCTCACGCCTCCTGCTTCAATGACTCCATCCAGCCATCTCATTCTCTGTTGTCCCTTTCTTCTGTTACCCTCCATCTTTCCCAACATTAGGCTCTTCTCCAGTGAATCCTTCCTTCTCATTAAGTGGCCAAAGGACTTGAGTTTCAACTTCAGGATCTGGCCTTCTAAAGAACAGTCAGGGTTGAGCTCCTCCAGGACTGACTGGTTTGATCGCCTTGCAGTCCAGGGGACTCATAGGAGTCTTCTCCAGCACCAGAGTTCAAAGGCCTTCATTCTTTGGCGCTCAGCCTTTCTTATGGTCCAACTTAAACCCAGCACATGAAAGGAGCATCGACAGAAAGAAAGCTGCCTTAAAGTGATAATAACAACCCTTGAAATAACTGTACCTATGTACAGTTTATGTTTCCCTATTATATAATAGTCATCATTACCAACTGATCTGCAGCCAGCAGAGGGCAGTGCACGATAGGAATTTTGTCTGCTTTATTTTTCCATTTCACATTAATTTTTTCTTTTTTTTCTTTTGTCTGGTCTCTGAATTCTTGTTGACCTCTGACGACCTCCTCCACTAATTCCTGCATTTTTATTGCAAGGTTGTTCGGAAGCGGCTTGCCATTGCCTCTGTCCTAGGGCTCAGAGAAAGGGCTGGCTCAAGAACACCCAGCTGGCTTCATGCCTAAAGGTGGGATTCGAAGCCGGGGTCTTTTGATTTTGTGTTTACTATTTTGGTTTTTTGGTTTTTTCAAAAAAAAAGCAGTTGAAAGTTTTTGGAAGTTTTTCCAATCACTCTGATTATAACCAAGCTGGATGAGCCAAATAAAGGAAGAAGAAAAAATACAGAGGAAAGAAAAAATGAAGAATATATTTATTTACAGCTCTTCTTATGCTGCTGCTGTTCCCCCACCTGTTCTACCCACCAAAGATCTTTCTCCTGTTTTTATTGCCTCTGATCCCAATCACTCGCAATCCCCAGTTTTCCTTCCATCACAGTAGATAGCAAACACTTCCCGGAGGATTTACTTTAAATGTTACAACCAGATGTACATTGTACCCATAAGAAGTTACTTGCTTATTGTAGATTTTGATGTTAAAGAAATTAGTTTGATGTTGAATCTTATAACAGCTGCAAGATTATTGGTGGGGCAATATTGGAAGAAAAACTCACAGCCTACCTTGGAAGAATGGATACTTAAGGTGTCTAATTTAGCAGAAATGGCGGAAATCTCCGCCTATTTGAAGGATCAATCACAAGAAAAATATATTATGGTTTGGAAAAGATGGATTAATTATATTCAAAAGAAATATGAAACTGATAAGTATTATCTTGCATATGTGTAGATGTTAGATAATTATTAATAATTTTAATTATATTATTATTTTTGTTTTAATTTGTTAATATTTGTTTTGAAAAGGAGTTAAAGTGCGTTATGGTTTCGTTTGATAGTATAGTTGGTTTATGTTAGATAGATTATGTTTGTTTATTTGTTACCCTGTAATCAGCTCTGGGAAGTGGGGGAGGGGGGAAGGGGTGGGAGGGGCTTATATTGTAAATTTTTTAAAACTTTTAATAAAAAAAAAAGAAAAAGCTACTTGCCACCTATTTGGGAACCGGTTTTTAAAGCTGCATGGAAGAACATGGGGAAAAAACTTTTCATCCCATTCCAAAGATGGCACCGCAAGCCTTGAAACAGCCTGTTTCAATACAAAAAACTTGATATGTAATTCTGTGATGGCTGAGTGGGATACAATAGGCATACTCAGCTGCTTGGGCTAATTAAATGAACTATTTATTTATTAAATTTCTGAATTGCTCACCTGACTTAAGTGACTCTGGCCAGATTACAAGAGCCGCTATAAACACATGATCAAAACAGGATTAAAAAACAAGATTGAAACGCACAGGTTCAAAGTGGAAATCAAAGTTAAAAGCTTCAGAAATATGAATCTGAATTAGGCCTGGGGAGTTCTGGTTTATGAAGCTCCTGCTGTGAAAATTGGCTCCTCACCCATCTGGTAACACAATTAACACTAAAGATAAGGTGACCAACTTTTTTACAATGAGAAGGAGGACACAAATAAATCGAAGGAAAAAAAGTGAGTCTAAGGTGTGCGTGTGTGCCGTGTCGTGTTTCGGTAAGAAGTAAACAAAGCCACTTGCGTGCGGCGCACTCTTGCGCGCGGCGCACTCTCTCAAAATAGTTCTGTGCGGAGCGCATGCGTCTCATAATCGTGTCTCGCTGTACTGTACCGAGCCTTGACGAATCGTCATGTCAAGTACAAATACATCACATCACACGCAACGGATTGGATCGGCATCGATCGAATACGGAGATTTACAGATTAGTCTTCAAATATCAAAAAGGAGGACATGTAGGAGGACACTTTTCGAGAGAGGACAGAATTTACAAAAGAAGGACTGTCCTCCCTAAAGGAGGACGGTTGGTCATCTTACTAAGGAGACTACTTAAAAATCTCTATCAATGCTAGGGGAATTCTGGCAATTGAAGTCCATATGTCTTAAAATTGCCAAGGTTGAGATACACTGAACTATATTGCCAAGGAAAGGAAAGAGTTTTTAGCCTTGGTGTCATCTATAACACCCCCAAATATGATTTAATACATCAGGATTAAAACAAACAAGCAAACAAACAAACAGGAGTTTAACATAAAGCCTGACCTCAACTTGTGACACCTAAGGAAGCCTCTGAGGCCTTCAAATGCTAAATCTCAAAGATCTTAAAGATATGTCCTTAAAGTTTGAGAATGATTTTGCATACTATGAATTTAAATGGACCGAACGTATCTACACCAACTCTAGTAAGAATGCAGCCAGGTCATTTTCAGGATGTAAAAGCACTTGATCAGTCCTTTGAACTTGTATTCTGGATTAGAGTTTTGAAGCGGTCTACAACCGGTTCAATAACCTCCTCGTGAATTTTCGATAATTTTTCACGGATCGCAGTTTTCAGGTTTTCCAACGCTGAGGAGATCCAGCTTGGTTTTTCCACCTCTTCCTTTTTCTTCCTAAGCTCCTCGATCTCCTCGTTCAGCTGGCTCGCCTCCTTCTCAAAACCCTCTTCCAATAAAGCCTTCTGCTCCTGCGGACAGAGCAAACATCAGCATCATGAGACTGAAAGCAAAAGACGTGATTATTGTCCTAGACCGTGTTCAAGGATGTACCCAAGAAAGAAAGAAAGAGATTCAAGATCTACTTGGTCAATTCCTGTCAAAGTGTAATTTTGTAAATGAGAAAAGCAGGAAATAACCTCATATGGACTCCACCCAGTGGTGGGGATTCATCCAGTTCTCACCACTTCGGCAGAACTGGCCCAGAATGGACTTCCGGAAGCAGCATCCACACAGAGAACCGGTTGTTCACATATTTGAATCCCACCATTCCTTCCTTCCTTCCTTCCTTCCTTCCTTCCTTCCTTCCTTCCTTCCTTCCTTCCTTCCTTCCTTCCTTCTTTCCTTCCTTCCTTCTTTCCTTCCTTCCTTCCTCCCTCCCTTCCTGTGGTGGGATTCAACCAGTTCCACCACTTCGGCAGAACCGGTAGCTAATTTTTTGTTGCCCAGGCCCAGAATGGACTTCCGGAAGCAGCATCCACACAGAGAACCAGTTGTTGACATATTTGAATCCCCCCACTGACTCTACCCCATTAGATCCCTATAATTCAGCTCAGTTACTCTCTCGGCCAGGGTGAGGTGTGTCCTGCAGTGAACAATTCACGTGGCTTTTGCACCAGTTAGCATATAAAGTAGCACAGGAAATGGGAATTCAAAGCCGTCTGTGTCAGAAATCCTCATTCCCCAAATCACAAAAGATTCTTTGCGCTTTGAGGAGGGGGGGAAAATCCTCTTTTCATTTCCTCTTCTATTACTCCTAACAGATCACAGCCAGAGCTGACATCATAAGTCAGTACAAGTACAGTATAGTCATGGGCTGTCTCGCTTAATGACTGTGACAAAATAAAGAAAGAGATACTTCGGGATCCAATCTGAGTCCGTCGCCGGGACCAGGGGCATTGTCTCCTGAGCCCATCTTCAGGAAACGTCTCTCTAGCAGAGTGCGTGCTTTTCTGTGTATTTTTGTGGTGCCTGTTGTATGCGGCTTTTTAGATGTTGACTGGGGTCTGTTGATGACTGGCTTTTTAAGTCATTGGTTGTCGTTTGCTTGTGCTGCCCAGCCCTCGCCTTCTAAATACTTGATAAGCTGGGGGCAAATCAGCACTCCACTCGACTGACGAGAGGCTTGTTTCCCAGGTTCCAATCACTGTCCTGACTGTTTTTGGACCTGCTCGTCCAACAATCTTAGTAGCTGCAAAATTGATTGATGGGATGATTTGCTTATTGACCAATCCAGATTGGATCCTGAAGCATTTTCCTGGGACACGTATATTCACCTTCATTCGTGAAAGAGATACTTGCAGTACGCTTGTCCTAAACCCATTGCTTTTCAGTTTTGAAAGTCTGCCTGTTTGTTAAAACCCGACCTCCCAACGACAGCAAGCTGAGATTATCGTGTTTACCCTGAGTTTGCTTTCGATCATCTTCTCGTATTCTTCCAGCCTCTGCTTCTTTTCTTCCAGCCTCTTCTTCTTCAGCATGTGAAAGTTCATGTCCTGACTCTGTTTGTGGTCCGCCGATTTCTGTTTTGACATTTCTTTTTCCAGCTTCTGAACCTCCTTTTCTAGTTCTTTGGCTTTGGCCTTCATCTTTTCATCTAAACCGGGGGGGGGGGGAGGAAGACATAAACAACTGCAGGTGATGTGCAAGCTGGCAAATACAGTAGTGGCCAACATTGTGGAAACCTTCTGGGAAAAGTGTACAGTAGAAATGCCACCTTTGGTTAAGTTTCCACCCATTTTTCTTCTCATTTCTTTATAACTGTAGCCTTGTTCGCTTAATAAATACTATTTTACATCGCTTTCTGGGTGACCAGTCAACTCTTTGCACCATGACTTTAATTTTATTACGTTTTACAAGCTCACCAAATGAAAGAACACAAAAAAACCCCAACCAACTCAATAGCGATCACATAACACACTGACAAATGTCCTCCTCTCAGCTTCAATACATGACATCAATCACTGGATCCTACCGTGATCTGATTGGCTCATTGCCAAAACAAGATGACACCCGATTGGCTCTCTAAACACTCACACTCATTGGCTACCATCAGATGAAGGAAAGCTACCTGAGATCAATCTAAGCAAGTTGTACTTCCCTTTTCTGATTATTTGGCTATAACGTTTCATAGAATACAGTACAGATAATTGAACAAACTTTGTTGCATTACGTTCTTGATTAAATTATCTTTCCATTGATATATAATTTTATGGTACTGCTCCCCCCAAAAAAGTGGTGTTATTAGCCTTCAAACCTCAAAAAATACACTTTTTCCCAAAAGATTTCCACAATTTTGGCCACGATTGTATTGCAATAAATAAGTAGATTTGGCTACAGGCAGCCCTTGCTTAATTATGATCAGAGGTTCCATCCCTCAGCCACTCAGTCATAAAGTACAATTCAGGTCCTCCATTTACGACCACACAATTGAGCCCAACATTTCTGCTGCTTAGCAAGTCATTTCTTAAGTGAATTTTGCCCCATTTTATGACTTTTCTTGCCACAGGTGTTAAGTAAATGACTGAAGTTGTCAGCTAAGTGATGCAATTGTTAAGGGAACTTGGCTTCCCCATTGACTTTGCTTGAAGGGGATCCCGTGATCCTGGGACACTGCGACCGTCATAACTATGAATCAGCTGCCAAGCATCTGGATTCACGTGACCGTGAAGATGCTGTAACAGTCATAAGTGTGAAAAATGGTCATAAATCGATTTTTTCAGTGCCCTTGTGACTTTGACCGGTCACTAAATGAACTGTTGTAAGTCGAGGATGACCTGTACACATTTCCAGCCTCACTGTAATGAGGTGTTTGGAACAAGTGAAGGCTATTGGCTGCTGTAGGGGAATTACAAGAATATGGCCCAAAGAGGCATTAAACAAATTACACGAACGTTTTAGGAAAGACAATTATTTCCCCTAGAATCCTTTTTTTCTAAAAAAAAGAAATCTTAAAACGGGTGTGATATGCTTGGATCAGCTCCTTCCCAAGGTCCTGGGCTCTCCTGCTCACCATTTTGCAGTTCATTTATTGGGATATAAATGAATGCAGTTACAAATATTGGATAATGCTGCAGAAAAGTGTTAATACCACTTTACAATGCCTTGGTAAGGCCACACTTGGAATACTGCATCAAGCTTTGGTCACCACGATGTAAAAAAGAGGCTGAGACTCTAGAAATAGTACAGAGAAGAGCAACAAAGATGATTAGGGGACTGGGGGCTAAAACTTATAAAGAATGGTTGCTGGAATTGGGTATGTCTAGTTTAACGAAGAGAAGGACGAGGGGGGACATGATAGCAGTCTTCCAATATCTCAGGGGCTGCCACAAAGAAGAGGGAGTCAAGCGATTCTCCAAAGCGCCTGAAGGCAGGACAAGAAGCAACGGGTGGAAACTAACCAAAGAGAGAAACAACCTAGAACTAAGGAGAAACTTTCTGACAGTCAGAACAATTAACCAGTGGAACAACCTGCCTCCAGAAGCGGTGAATGCGCCAACCCTGGAAGTTTTTAAGAAGAAACTGGACAGCCATTTGTCCGAAATGGTATAGGGTTTCCTGCCTGAGCAGGGGGTTGGACTAGATGACCTCCAAGGTCCCTTTCAACTTTATCATTATTATTATTAAAAAGGACACCGCTCCATCTTTCATTACCAAGTGCTTACTCAAAGGGGAGAGGAAAGCATTTTCCCAATGAGTTTAAGGATAAACAAGTCTGTTCCCACCTCCAAAGCAGAACCAACACCCCAGCATCATCCGACAGCTTGTTCACACCTTTACCTGCTATTTCCTTCTCGTTCATTTGAAGGGCTTTGTCATTTTGAAGGATGGCTTTGCTGATGTCTTCCTTGCCCCGGAGGAATTTTTTCAGGATCTTCCATGCCTGGTTGAAGGAAAAGAGAGAGAGAGAGCTGGAGTGACGCAGAGACGCCAGCGATGAGAAGTTTGCTGGACCAGATGGTAGCTAGCTTAGGAATTAAGAACTGTGTTAGAGCATTTAGCATTTAAAGGGTTAATGCTGTCTCCTTAAGAGATGGCCTCTGGGAAATGTAGTCTACTGTTAGTCAGTCCTATATCTTATCTAGTCAGTGGGAGGGGCTTCAAAGTTTATGACTGGACTTCCTGGCTAGGTATATGTAAAAGCCTTTGTGTAAGACAGATATGTGGTTCCTGTGCTCCATACGAATATGGGGTGAATCTACCTCTAATATTTTACACCACAAGAACGGAAAGAGTATGATACGTTCGTCAGAAGAACTCTTCTTGACTATAAGTTATTGTTTAGAGATTCCTGAAGAATAAATAATTTGAATATTAATCGGTCTTTGGAGTTTATCTGTCTGTGACGAACAGGATTAAAGCAGATCTCTTGTTTGGACCAGAACAGTAAAATATTAGAGGTAGATTCACCCCATATTCGTATGGAGCACAGGAACTGCGTGTCTACCTGAACGATCTCCCTGCTGTCAAATGGGGGACACCAAGTGAAATCTCATGCCGAATTGGGGGAAAATTGTCTTCCTGTAGCTCGTCAAAAGGACATTTTAAACACAAAAGGACAGTCTTGATGCCAGGGAGGTAGGTGTGCAATGATGGGAATTTCACCCAAAAATGAAACATTTGTTATCACGATCGGAAATAATAATAATAAGAGTTGTGTCTGACACTAGGGGCCAGTGCTCATCTCTGTTTCTTAACTGAGGGAGCCAGCATTGTAATTTCCATGGTCATATGGCCAGCTTGGCTATAGCTGAGACACATGGAATGCTGTTACCTTCCCACTGAAGCGGTACCTATTTATCTACTCGCATTTGCCTGCTTTTGAACTGAGCTGGAGCACGAAACGGGAGCTCACTCGTTGCACTGCGCTCAGGTCTCAAACTCTCAGCATTTTTAACCAAGGAGCCATCAGGTCCATCTGTACATTACATGCTTCATTTTCCCGACAGCTTTATCCAATGTTACGGAGTCTGGCCTAACAGAACTACATCAGCCTTTGTGAGTATTAATTTAGCAAACCTCATCATTTTGTACCATGATTCCTTTCTTAGGTGTATCAAAGAATTGTTTCTCCAGTTTCTGGAGGTCATTAAGAAATTCCTGGTGGCCACCAGCTCGGGAATAGCTTCCGTTCTTGATATTCTGCTCCAGGCCCTCAGACAGTGAGGCTAATAAAGCTGAACAGATTTCGGAGGATTTCTCTTTATTTTTCTGGCAGTACTCTTCTTTCTTGCTATCCAGAGTTTTCTGGTAGGAACAAGAGATAACATAGCAAGAACTGAGATTTGACAAACAAATCCATGTTTGTGGTCTTCCGTGATTAAACAGACCTTCATCCCAACTTGAAATGGTAGATGCTCTTCCTTTAATTCAGGGGTCTTCAAACTTGGCCCTTTTATGACTTGTGGACTTCAACTCCCAGAATTCCTCAGCCAGGCACGCTGGCTGAGGAATTCTGGGGGTTGAAGTCCACACGTCATAAAAGGGCCAAGTTTGAAGACCCCTGCTTTAATTTAACTAGAGCAGTGTCTCTTCAGGGCAACAGGGCTTTAAGATGTGTGGACTTCAACTCCCAGAATTCCTCAACCAGTATTGGTGGCTGTGGAATTCTGAGAGCTGAGGTCCACACAACTTAAAGCCATCAAGGCTGAGAAACACTGAACTAGTTACTAGAGCAGTGATGGTGAACCTTTCAGAGACCAAGTGCCCAAATGCAACCCGAAACCCACTTATGCATCGTCGGGTGCCGGGTGGGTGTGGCCTATTGGGTGGGTGTGGCTGCAGTGGTAACAGCAGACTGGGTGGAACTAAAAAGTTCAATCAATCAATTCCAACTTTGCGAGATCTTTTTTTTTTCGTGAGAAGTTGAAATTGACTGATTGATTCAACTTTTTTTTTTTTTTTTGCACATGGCGGTGGAGGCCTAAAGCGAAAAGGTTTTATAAAACCCAGCTGAAGGCCTAGGACTGGGGCGACGGCACGCGTGCCCACAGAGAGGGCTCTGAGTGCCACCTCTGGCACCCGTGCCATAGGTTCGCCACCACTGTACTAGAAGATACTTAATTCTTAGAACAGGAACAGAATTTTCCAAAAGGGCTGATGATAACATCCCTCATCATCCTGTCAATTCTCCTGGATGTTCCTTCCCACATCCATCATTTGTCCTTCACGGCAATCAGGCACATTTCCAAATAAAACACCTGGCGATATAGCCATCCACCAATATCTTGACTAGGAACATCTACACCACTTCTGCGAGGCTAGAACAAGAATACTATGTTTTGTATTCTTTTCTAAAATATTTTTAAAACTTTATTATAAGATAAATATGCAGAAAGAAACTTCTGTTTTCAACTTTGAGCAAAAATGTCAGGAGCATTTTCTGGACAGAAACAAAACAAGAAGAGTTCTTCTCTTTAATAAAAACCATTTGGCCATCTCCATCAATTCCATATTTTCTGTAGTCTTATAACTACAGAAAATACTGGAGGTTAAGTTCCAGAACAAGGAGCCACCAGTTTTCAGTATTATCTATAAAGGTTGGTGTCATACAAGATTACCTACCATGAGTTCAACCTGGAATTCACGTGTATCATCCTTGAAAGCACGAGCCATGAACATCTGGAGAGCCTGTTCCTCACATATTTTGTGTTTGTCCAGAAGTTCCTGGAGACTATCAGTGGGTAGCTGCAAGCTATGGTCCATCAGTTGCGCATAGCGAGCAACAGCTTCCTGCAGGGCTGCCCTGTTCTCAATCTCAGCCAAAGCCAGGACTGTGTTCTCCAGGCAGGGAATATTCCCACTAGAGATAGTATCCACGTAGGTCTCAACCAACTTTGCCAATACTGCATAAAGAAAAATAATATAGATCGTTGAACCATCAGCCAGCCATATTCAGCTATCGTTGCTCTTTGTGGAGCAGACTCAAGAATTTAAGGCACTGTGCCATAACATGCTTGCCAATAGTCTATGTTGGTTCTCACTCATCCAGGTCATGGTTGTCCCAAAGGTGTTTTTTTCAACAGGCAACTGGACTTTTTCCTTGATGATATTTCATTTCTCATCCAAGAAGCTTCTTCAGTTCGGACTCAACGACTCTCAGAAAGAGTGCTAATGACCAGATGACCACAGGGAATATCGATCCTTCCATTCTCCACCATCCAGTCAAAACTGAAGAAGCTTCTTAGATGAGACACAAAAAGTTTTCAGGGAAAACAAAGAAAGTCCAGTTGAAAAAGCATCATGCTTGCCAGTTGGGCTAGATCAGCATGCACTATGCCTCATTCTGTTGAATGAAGTCTCCTCCAGAAAGCCATGCAGGCTGGACCATCTAGCCCAGTGGTTCTCAACCTTTCCAATGCCGCAACCCCATAATACAGTTCCCCATGTTGTGGTGACCCCCAACCACTTATACATCACCGGGTGCCAGGAGCGTGGCCAAAGAAAAGGGGGGAAAATGGCGGACAGCCTTGTTTGGCGACCCCCGTGAAATGGTCGTTTGACCCCAAATGGGGTCCCGACCCACAGGTTGAGAACCACTGATCTAGCCCATGGGTAGGCAACCTTGGCTCTTTTATGACTCATGGACTATGCTGGCTCAGGAATTCTGGGAGTTGAAGTCCATGAGTCATAAAAGAGCCAAGGTTGCCTACCCATGGGCTAGATGGTCCAGCCTGCATGGCTTTCTGGAGGAGACTTCATTCAACAGAATGAGGCATAGTGCATGCAAATTTTCCAGCTGTCCCTGGCTTATACTAATAACACCCCAGACTTAACAAGTGTTGAAAAGAAAGACAAAAAAAATCTGAATAGTTGATGTGGCAATACCTGGAGACAGAGAACAGAAGAGAAAGAACTCAAGAAGATAACTAAATACAAAGAAGACCTGCAAATAGAAATAGAACTACTGTGGCAAAAGAAAGCAAAGATGGAACTCATATTAATAGGCACCTGGGCAATCAAAATAACTGGAGCACCACTTGAACACCATCAGCAATGACAAAATCTCCATCAGTCAGTTGCAAAAGGCAACTGTAGTTGGACAAGTTGACATGCTGTGACGTTACCTTTAACGTCCTCAAACATCCACATCTGCCTATCCCAGGTCCTTGAGAAGAACTCCATTGGATCAAAATGCCAAATCCAATATAAACATCTGGCTGAGTATAGTTATTCCTCGATTTACAACCACAATTGAGCCCCATTTTTTGTTGCTAAGTGAGACATTTCTTAAGTGAATTTTGCCCCATTTTATGACCTTCCTTGCTACACTTAACACTTCTTGTTAAGTGACTCACTGCAGTTTTTAAATCAGTAATAGTGAATCTGGCTTCCCCATTGACTTTGGTTGACCAAAGGTCGCAAAAGAGGATCACATGACCCAGGACACTGCGACCGTCATAAATATGAGCCAGTTGCCAAGCGTCTGAATTTTGATCACCTGACTAGAGGGGATTCTGCAACGGACGTGTGAAAAATAATTACAAATCACTTTTTTCAGTATTGCTGTAACTTCAAACAGTCACTAAATGAACCGTTGTAAATCGAGGCCTACCTGTATACAACCAAACACAAGCTATATAAATAAAAATGTAAATGTTCGTTTCTTCAAAATCTTAAATCTCCGAACGTTCTTCACCGATTGCTTTGAAATTTTGACACAACGTTGCATTCAAATATGCACATGTTTTTATATACCTATATTATATAGATGTCACACCTGTGACAGGTAAAAACACGCTTTTTTGAAAAACAGGTAAAAACATGCTTTTTTTGAAAAACAGCGCCATCTGTTGGACGTAATCTCTATATCTGCACATACAATGAAACAACAAAAAATACTGCATACCCACAAGCATTGTGAAATTAAACATATTACAAATGTGTGCTTTCTCTTTTCTTTCTTGAGCCACAGCAACACGTGGCTGGGTACAGCTAGTAATAATAATAATGATAGAGCTAGAAGGACTCACAGTTGCCAGTGACAACATGTCCGCCTGGAAGAGTCTTTTCTTGGGATGTCGCATAGACATAATGACAAAATTTCTTTGCTTGTTCCACAAATTCAGGCTCCAGCTGAGTATCTACCATATTTTCCAGATAGCGCAAGTTCCGACTTTTAGTAGGGGAATCAAAGACGAAGCATTTCCGGGTGTGGAAAAATAGTCGGATGTATTTCCGTGGCATATTGAATGTCTGCTTCTTCTGACTGTTACCTAGAAAGCAACATGTCCACCTGGCAGGTAAATCTGAATTTCACTGGGGAAAGTTCCTATCTAATAATAATAATAATAATAATAATAATAATAATAGTAGAAGTAGTAGTAGTAGTAGTAGTAGTAGTAGTAAAGTTGGAAGGGACCTTGGAGGTTATCTAGTCCAACCCCCTGCTCAGGCAGGAAACCCTACACCATTTTGGACAAATGGCTGTCCAGTCTCTTCTTAAAAACTTCCAGGGTTGGAGCATTTACTGCTTCTGGAGGCAGGTTGTTCCACTGATTAATTGTTCTCACATTAATTGTTCTCATCTCTATTATTTAGTGCCATTTCACTGTTATCCTTACCTAGTACATGTTTCTCCTCTTACTTTATCCACCTTTTCTCTCTTATAGAGGCCACAAATCTATAATGTGAGTTTTTCTGGTTTCCAAACCAGTGACTTCGGATAGCCTCTATTTAACACACTGCACTGTGATTTACCCAGAAGGATTTTGTGGAAAGGTGATGTACAAATTAAGGGTGATTTAGTCTTTTAACCTGCAGACTCAGCCACCAAAGTATATGCAAATTGCAACCTGAAATTTCAAGCGGCAGCTTCTGGCAGTTGCAACCCTGATTTAAATTAATCGAGAAAACGGAGCATTGAAGAAATAACACCACTGCTTATTGTACAACAAGTAATTTGGTTAGGGAACAAATGAGGAAAACAACTCAGCTTTTATTTCAGTGCCGTGACTACTGAGAATGAAATGGGTTTCCTAAGAAAAACATATTCCTACTGGGTATTTTTGTTGTCGATTTAGCCTGTTTCAAAGTTCAATTATTTTTTATTGTATCATATCTGCTGAGTCTTATTTTACAATGCTCCGTCACTCAGATGACTTCCTTGCCTAAATTAGTAGAACCTACAATTTCCTGGTTTCTAGTCTGGTGTCTTCATTTCTAGATCAAACTAGCTTGGGTGATACTTTTTACCTCTTGAGGTCTATTCTGGGACTCCCTAAAGAAGGAAAGTTTAGGGCTGAGGCTTCTGTTCCTTATTCAAGTGGTCACATAGACCTTCACGCTGCATTTGTCATCAGTTACCTATTTTTAATTCCAGAGCGTGTTCGAGATATTCGTCCTCCGTGATGGATTGCCCGTCCCGTTCCAGCTGCAGTGAGAAGTCTCGCACTGTCCAGATAAACATTGGGAAAAAGCCGACAAATTCGGAAGAGTCATCTGTATCTCCAGGAGCGGAGGAAGCCTTTGACTTGATATATTGAGACAACTCCGTCACAAAACTGTTGGCCCAGCTTAGGAATCATGCAATGTACATGTGCAGTGAACAAAGAGGATGGTCTTGAAGGCTAGAGAGAAGATTTGCTACCAGGGCAATTGTCAAATAAATGAAACAACATTATAGCCTCAGAATAAAGTGCAATTATCCCTGTTGAAGAGCAACGTGGTTCTAATAACAGACTTCATCTATTCATTGCCTCAACCCATTTTCTGTGTCTGCACAATACCCCGAAATGTAAGCCAGTCAACATTCACTCTAATCAAGCTTAAGCATGTGGGGAAATACAGTGGATGAGTTTGGAAATGATGTAGGCAAGGATTTTCTGAAGTGTACCTCGCTCCAAATTTGACTGCATAGAACAGCGGTGGGGAACTATGGCCCTTTTATGACTTGTGGACTTCAACTCCCAGAATTCCTAAGTCAGCCATGCTGAGGGGAAAGGGAGAGATTTCCACGCTGAGCCATGCTGGTTCAGGAATTCTGGGAGTTGAAGTCCACCCATTTCCGAGTGCCCAAGATTGAGAAATACAAGCCTAGGCCAGGGGTAGGCAACCTTGGCTCTTTTATGACTCATGGACTTCAACTCCCAGAATTCCTGTGTCAGCCATGCTGAGGGGAAAGGGAGAGGTTTCCATGCTGAGCCATGCTGGCTCAGGAATTCTGGGAGTTGAAGTCCACGAGTCATGAAGGGGCCATAGTCTCCCCACTTTTTGAGAATACTGATATGGCCCTTGTATGACTTGTGGACCTCAACTCACAGAATTCCAGAGCCAGTTATGGTTATTTAAAGCATAACAAAATTGACTTCCTTTTTTTCTCTCTTCTTTCTTTTTTGCCTTTCCTCTTTTTTAATCTCTTTTTTCTCTTTTCTTACTCTGTATTAATTTCCCTTAAACTTTTACCTTCTTTCTTAAAACTGATAATAAAACTGTAATAAAGCGAAACAAAATTATCCCTGTTGAAAAGCAATGGGGTTCCAACAATAGACTTCACCTGTTCATTGCCTCAACCCATTTTCTAGGCCTCCACAATACCCCGACATGTAAGGTAATCAATATTCAATCTAACTAAGTTTAGCACGCTGAGGAAATGCAGTGGGCGAGTTTGGAAATGACGTAGACAAGGATGTTCCTGAAAGCTGCCTCACTCCAAATCTGACTGCACAGAACAGGGGTGGGGAACTATGGCCCTTTTATGACTTATGGACTTCAACTCCTAGAATTCCCCAGCCAGCCATGATGGCTCAGGAATTCTGGGAATTGAAGTCCACAAGTCATAAAGGGCTCATAGTTTCCCCACCTCTGGCACAGCAAACAGAGCTATTCTTGAAAAGGATACTGAAGCTTGTCCAGAGCAGCCTGATCAATGGTCCCCACACTGTTGTAGACCAGGGTGCTGCTCAGCAACACGGCCAAAGCGAAGATCCAGGCATCGTTTTGATTGCTGCCCTAGAGAAGGACAAGAATAGGTTATGATCTGTTTCTGACTTCTGCTGAGTTTATCTATGACGGTTAGAAGGTAACTTCTAATAAGCATAAGATACCATTCGTTCACCACTCCAGTATTTATTCACTGAGTCATTCATCTATTCAGACAGTCCCAGGGTGCTGGGAGTTGTAGTTTAGGAAAATTTGAGGCCACGCATTGCAAGAGTTTCAAATAACAGGTGGGGAGGTATACGTAAAAGCAAAGTAAATAGCTTTCCCCATTTACTTAGCTGGCTAGGAAAGTTGTAAATGACTTGGGGATCCTACAACTATGGTAAATACATGCCAGTTGCCCAGGGCCTAAATTATGATAACGTGAGCGTGGTGATACTGTGATGGTCATAAGTGTGAGGATCAGATACAGTATAAGACACTTTTTTCAGTGCTATTGTATCGAGGCATCTGACTCTTGAGCCATGAAGGGAAAATGTACGGTAAGATAATAGAAACAAGATCAAGACCAGTTATAGAAGCACAATTAGCAGAAGAGGAGATGCATTTTAGAAGAAATAGAAGCTGCACAGGTGCAATTTTTGTGCTTAAACAACCAACAGAAAAAGAATATGGAATACAATAAAAATCCCTTTCTCACATTTGTAGACCAAGAGAAAGCATTTGGTAAGAGTTGATAGGAAATTGTTTTGGCAAACATTGACTCAATGTGGAGTAAGTAAACATAGGTATAGGTTCTCCTGCTTGAGCAGGGGGCTGGACTAGAAGACCTCCAAGGTCCGTTTCAGCTCTATTCTATTTCTAGTCTAGTCTAGTCTAGTCTCATCTAGTCTAGTCTAGTCTAGTCTAGTCTAGTCTAGTCTAGTCTAGTCTAGTCTTCTACTCCATTCCTCTATTCTATTCTATTCTATTCTATTCTATTCTAATTGTAGTCTAGTCTAGTCTAGTCTATTCCATTCCACTATTCTATTCTATTCATTCTGAATTCTATTCTATTCTACATTTTTATTCTATTCTGTATTTCTATTCTATTCTATTCTATTAAAAAAACATCTTAATTAGAGTATGCAGAATCTTATACAGTGACTGCGGAAGTCCAATCAAAACAAACCAAGGATCATCTGAACCCTTCATAGTAACATCTGGAGTAAAACTATCCCCACTATTGTTTATCACCTACATTGACAGCATAAGCACAGCCAAACCCAAGAATGGAAATAATATGAACAAACGTCTCTTTGCAGATGATCAGGCATTGATAGCAAGTCCAGTTGAGAAACTGCAAAATCATCTTATGGACAGGAATGCCAGACAAATAATACGAAAATCAGCAAAAACAGAAGTAATTGAATTCTTTTATACAAAGAAATATAAAAATATAAAAATCACCTTTTCCACATCACCTATTCCCTCAGTATCCAGAAGGACAAGGGTTTGCTTAGGCCTATCTGGATAGGGAACACACCACATCCAGATTCCTTTAGTTTTTGCTTGCACTGTGGAGCCTAAACAGAAGCCTACAAATGGAAAAATGGGATATGGTTTAGATCTAAAATGGTCAACCTGTAATATGTTAGCTACAGTTAATAATAAGACACAGGTTGTTCACCTGTCTTTACACCTTGAAACAGGAAGTTATGCAAGGGTGTAGTTTCCCATGTGAAAATGGTCATCAAAAAATATTTCATTTTGCAATATAAAAAAAAGCACAAGAGTCCTCAAAAGATAAGGGAGCCTACATTTCTGAGAAGCTAAAAAAAAAAACACCAGAAGAAGAGTTATAAACATGTATTGATTAAAATAGCAATCTAGACATTCTGTAATGGGAGGGGAGAAAGACCTTGGGAGAAGGGCAAAGAGACACTTCCTGGGAAACGATCAGATAAGAGATAGCACAGCCTTCTGATGGACAGTGGGAGGGGCAAGAGGCTCAGAAGAGGACCACCCCCCCCCCCAGATTCTCTGGCACTAAAGGAAATGAGTGGAGAACTCAATTTTCAGATTCTGTCAGGGTAGCTTTACAATAAAGAAAATTGGCTCCTTTGATCAGGTTTCCTGTCTGCTTTGTCCCACGAGGCCAACATCACCTAATACAGTGGTTCTCAACCTTTTTAATGCCGCGACCCCCAACCGGTCGTAAGTCGAGGACTACTCAATCGGTCGTAAGTCGAGGACTACTCAACTGGTGCAGCACCATTTGCAGAATGGGACTTTAGGCGGGCTCAGCAGGGCAGAGACAGCCTGGACAATTCCTATTGGCTTTTGAAAGCCAATAGAATTAGACTCTATTCAAGAGAGTCTATTCTATTGGCTTTCAAAAGCCAAGAGAATAAAAGGGAGTAGCACAGCTAAGGAAAAGGGGAGGGAAAATGGCGGACTACGTTGTTTGGCGACCCCTGTGAAATGGTCGTTCGACCCCAAATGGGGTCCCGACCTACAGGTTGAGAACCACTGACCTAATAATAAAAGAGCAGGACGGGACCTTGGAGGTCTTCTAGTCCAACCTCCTGCACAAGCAGGAGACCCCATACCATTCCAGACAAGTGGCTATCCAGTCTCTTCTTAAAAGCCTCCAGTGATGGAGCACCCACAACTTCTGAAGCTGTTCCACCGGTTAATTGTCCTCCTCATCATTAGGCAATTTTTCCTTAGTTCTAGGTTGCTTCTCTCCTTGATTACTTCCCACCCATTGCTTCTTCTCTTGCCTTCTGGTACTTTTCTTACTTACTGTCAAACTTACTATCATAAAGGGGATGATAAACGTCTGCAAGATGACATCATTTCTAAGGGTCCCTTCCTTGTCACTGGATCACTCACAAAGGGTATTTTGGAAAACGAAAGCACAACCTGTCCATCGGAGCAGAAAACCCCAGACTTGGGCGGGAGGGGGGGGGTTTGCTGATTTTCCCACCCAGGTTTCGCCCTGGTCCATATTGTCCTGGTTCATCTCAGACCTTCTCACCTGAATTTTTGCCAGCCAGCTTGTTCATCAGGTAGGACTTGCCCGTGCGGTAGGGTCCCACGATGGACACCACCACGACCGGATTCTGGATGTCCGAGAGCAACTGGAGACCCTCCGAAGAGAGACGGAGGCGATTTTTCCTGTTCTCAACCAGGCACACCGGAGCCTCCATCCTGGCTCTGGGGGGGGGGGGGAGAGAGATGCAGCTGCAGAGAGGATGGGGCAGCTGCAGCACTTTCTTCACAGTGAGCTCCCAAAGGAGGAGCGTCAAAGACCCTTCCCCAAGTGTGTGATTTCCAAGTGACATCAAGTGGCCCATCCCAGGCCAGCGAGCGGATGGGTTTTGTAATTCCCAACAGGTCCCTTCTCAAGCCATCTTTCCCCCCCCCCCAGATCTCCAGAAGCCACTCAGCTGAAGGGCAGAGGGTCTTCAGGGCCAAGCCAGACCCCGGTGGCAGACCCGGACTGAAGGCAGTGAGGGGCCAAATGGGACCACCTACCCAGCAGCTTCCCCAGAAGCATTTGTGTGCAGAAGCCCCCCAATCTCTCACCCTTCTGGCCCCCAACCTGATCGGCTGAAGGGCAGAGGGTCTTCAGGGCCAAGACAGACCCCGGTCCAAAAGGGAGTGAGGGGTCCCCACGTCCCCTTCCCCACAAGCTCCCTCGGAACTCCACCCTACCTCCAACCTTCGCCCTAACTTGTCTATGGGGCAAAACCCCTCTGGCCCCCAACCCCCCCCCCCAGGGCTCAAACGGGACCACCTTCCCCACAGCTTCCCCAGAAGCATTTCTCACCTGGGAGACCCCCCCACCCCCACCCGCCCACACCTGTCCGGAGAAACCCTTCTGGCCCCCCAAGGGACCCTCCCACCAGCCCTTCACTCCCCCCACCCCAATTTCCAGGGGGGGGTCTCTGTTTCCCGGGGCCCCCCCCTCCCAACCTCAAGTCCAGGAAAGCCTCTGCAGCTGCGGCGAAGGACCGGAGCCCGGAGGGCAAGGTGGGGAAAAGCGTCTCCCCTTTTTCCCGGATCCCCTTTTTACCGTCTTTGCAAAGGAGATCAGGCGGGGATCCTCCGGCTCTCTTCGCGGCCCTCCCGCGACCGACTCGCAGCTCTTATCAAGACGCGGCGGCAGGCATCAAAGGCGGCCAGCCTCTCGGGCAGGCGGGACAAATCCTGAAAACCTTTCCGCCTGCCAACTTCGGGGAATAAGATCTGGCTGGGGAGGGCAGGGGTGCAGAGAGAGGAGGGGGGATTGGCTGACACACACACACACCCCAGCCTGATCTTTTCACTGTGGTTTGCACGCGTCGGGGGTTTGGGGTTTTTTTTTTTTTTTTTTTGTATAAACGCGTGTGCCATCCGCACGTGTGAATGTAACGGACATGAGCGTCTTATGCGGCGATTTTTAGGTTTAGATAACCTTTATGGTCAGTTTTTACTGAGTGGAGGCACTAGCAGTTTGCCTTGGTTGCTTCATCGTGGGTTACTCGCTCAAGATGTTGCTGGAATTGGGTATGTCTAGTTTAATGAAGAGAAGGATGAGGAGGGGACATGATAGTTTCCAGTATCTCAGGGGCTGCCCCAAAGAAGAGGGAGTCAAGCTATTCTCCAAAGCTCTTGAAGGCAGGACAAGAAGCAAGGGATGGAAACTCATCAAGGAGAGAAGCAACCTAGAACTAAGGAGAAACTTCTTGACAGTTAGAACAATTAACCAGTGAAACCACCTGCCTCCAGAAGCCGTGAATGCTCCAACCCTGGAAGTTTTTAAGAAGAAACTGGACAGCCATTTGTCCGAAATGGTATAGGGTTTCCTGCCTGAGCAGGGGATGGACTAGATGACCTCCAAGGTCTCTTCCAACTTTTATATTATTATTATTATTATTATTATTATTATTATTATTATTATTATTATTATTATTATTATTAATTTTGAAGAGATCCCCTACAATATTGTATCTAAGCCAAAATGACCAAAAAACATATAGTTTAAGCCAGAATTATTTTTATTAGGTATAATTGTAGGTGATGATGAGAGTGTATTTATTTAATTTTACATATATTAACTGCAGCAAGAATTGTATTTGCTCAATATTTGAAAAAATGAAGAATTACCAGCGGAGGAAGCGTTCATTAAAAAAAACTTAAGAGTGCTCAGAAGTGGATAGATTGACAATAATGAAAGGAAATTCAGTTTATTTTAGAACATGGAATACTTTTTATAATTGGCTAGATAAATGAGGTAGAGTGAAAGGAACTTAATATGTATTACTAAATTAGACATTGAAATCCAGAAAATATGTTGCTAATATTTTAAGCACTGTGATTATTAAAAAAAACTAATACAGATGTATCTAATATTGTACCTAAGCTGTTAATAGTTTTTAAAAGTGCACAAATTGAGACTGCAGGGAGGGAGAGGAGATGGGTGCGACACCACCGTTTACTAGACGTGTTGGGAAGGAATTGCCACTTGTCACCCCATAACTTGGAGGAAAGGCTGGAAAGGGGGGGGAACTGGGGTTATTGGATCTCATTATATGTTCAAGCATGTCACTGGTACAGTTGTGCTGCTGCTCGTTGAAAGCCATGAGCTACATGGGGTTTGTACCAATAACCTACAACTTGTGTGGTCCTTGGTGCTCTCTGAGCTTGGTTGTTTCTTGCAGACGTTTCATTATCCAATTACGTAACGGCATCAGTGCTAGAAAGGAGTGGAGCCACCATCAATGATGCCACCCTAACAGAGCAAGCCACTAGTACAGACACGTCAAACACAAGGCCTGGGGGCCAGATGCGGCCCGCGAAGTGGTTTTATGTGGCCCGCGAAGCCATCCTGGAAACAGTGAGGGAACGGCCCCCACTGCCTTGGCCCTGGCCCAGGCCGGCTGGGAGCCAATGTACAATTTTGTGGTGGCCATCTATGCTGAAACGCATTCAGTCTTAGCTCCATAAGCCCCCTCCCTTCCATGGCCTGAGAAGAACAGCAAGACTCCTCCAGTGGACCATGCCTTGGCACTTGCCCCGGTCCCACCCCCTTCTGCCAGAGACCCCCAGATCTGTCCCACTCCTGCCCAGGCCCCCACAGGCACCCTTGATGTGAACGACGTAGAGCTGGCCACACCCACCCAGTAGGCCACACCTACTCCATCCACACCCACCCAGTAGGCCACACCCACCCAGCCCCCTGAGGGCAACCACAATGCTGATGCGGCCCTCAATGAAATTGATTTTGACACCCCTGCACTAGTATATAAACAAAGAGCGAATAATGTAGCTGTTCATTATAAATATATCCTCCATCCAGCCTCCAAGAAATGAATTGCTACATGTTTACCCCCTTAATCTGAACTCTTCCCAGCTCAGCTAAAAGGAATCAACTTTGATTCAGAGTACAATCAGGAAACAAAAATCTCTTGGGGGCCAGATTATTATCTGAGCGTGTTCCATCTCTTTATCTATATTCTAAATGATTCTTGGGCAACCCAACCCAAGCTGATTTGTGAATTTATTGCAAATGCCTGGGACTTTGTCCTAATTATCTTGTTTTGCTCTTCCAGCCCACTTTTAGTTTCTCACTTCTTTTGAAGGGGGAAAAAAAAAAGACTGCTGAAAGATTATACAACTCTTAAAACAGGGCTGTCTTTAAAAAAAAAAAATCCATGCAGAAGCCTGACAAAAATGGATGCCTTGTTTTGAGAAATGACTGAATCGCTTTTGGAACAGATATTTTTCTTCTCCCGTGTTTCTGAATTGCAGAACAAGAATCTGAAAGTGAAGGAAGCCAAGTTATGTGGACTTTACACAGCAAGGGCTGTAATATTTTAGTACTGAACCAGCTTCTGGGAGGCCCGCCCTCAATATGTTAATACTTTATTGCTTGTTGCCCCTTGCTTGCTAATGATTATGATCCTTGATTTTTCAAGTGCTTAAAGCTATGCCAATTTATGTGACTTAACCCCAAGAGCAGACCTCTTTGCCCTGTACAGAATAAACAGGTTGCCGTTTCCTCCCTTGTGTGATCATTGGCTATATCACACCAGGGAAAAACAAATCCAGCATTGGACGGATCAATTCATGGTTTGACCCACACGGAAACTATTGATTTCAACCAGATCCTTCCATGGTGTTATGGTTCCCATCAATCGGCATGGCAGACCAGGAGGTTGAGCAGGTGTTGAAAACGCCATGATGGGTTATGAAAAATGTCTGTCTTTCAAATACATGTTAGAACTGTAGTTCTAAAGCAGTGATGGCGAACCTTTTAGAGACCGAGTGCCCAAACTGCAACCCAAAATCCACTTATGCATCACCGCGTGCTGGGTGGGTGTGGCCCATTGAGTGGGCGTGGCTGCGGTGGTAACAGCAGACTGGGTGGGACTAAAAAGTTCAATCAATCAATTCCAACTTTGCAAGATCTTTTTTTTTCCGTGTTAAGTTGAAATTGACTGATTCTTTTTTTTTGTTTTTGCACGGCGGCGGAGGCCTAAAACGAAAATCCAGCTGAAGGCCTAGGACTGGGGCAACGGCACGCGTGCCCACAGAGAGGGCTCTGAGTACTGCCTCTGGCACCCGTGCCAAAGGTTTGCCACTACTGTTCTAAAACAAGGTGTTTTTTTTATTGTATAGATTTTATTAGTTTTTATAGGGTTAGGAATAAGGTGGGGTCAGGGTTGGGATTTGTGTTAGCATTAAGGTTAGGGTTGGGGTTTTTCCAAATAACATTCTCAATATTTAGCAAATAGCATAATGTCTGGGTTCATGTATTGAACAAACAATAATAGATAATAGTTAATTACCATAAACAATGTTAATTAATCACTCAATAGCCTTCCTCTTGCTAATATATGTTCAAAATTACATATCACATTCCTTTCTCTCTGACTCATTTTTCTAGCCATTGATAGAAATTATCTCATGTTCTAAAGCACACGGAGTCTTCTTTCTCTTTTATCTTTAAAGTCAATCTATCCATTTCTGCACACTCTAGAATTTTCTTAATTAGTACTTCTTCAGCTGCTAAGTTTTCATTTTTCCAATGTTGGGCAAATACAATTCTTGCTGCCATTAGTACGTGTAATATTAAATATCTGCAATCTTTCTCATAATTAACTCATATTATTCCTAACAAAAATAATTCTGGTTTAAAGTCTGTTTATTTTTTTAGTCATTTTCTCCAACCATAAATGTATTTTAACCCAAAATCTTTTTGCTTTAGGGTATGTCCCCCAGATATGATAATGTTTGCATTTCCAACAGTTATTTGAAGTATTTTTAAACATTTTTGCTAATCTCACTGGTGTCATATGCTAAAACAAGTACTTTCTTAATGTGGCTCAGTTGCAATGCAAAAACATTGATATTTAGTTATCCCATGCTTCAGTGGGATAAGAACAGTTAAAAATAGAATTAAGAACAAGGTTAAATGCACAGGGTAACAGTGAAAATAAAAAATTCAGAACTCTAGTAGGAGTTTGGAAGTTCTGTTAATGAACTAGTGTAAATAGGCTTCTCACTCAACAAACACAATAAAACTGTTGTTAAAGAAAATATTTAAAAATCCATAGCAGTGCCCAGGAAATTGTGGCAGTGGAAGTCCAGATGTCTCAATGCTGCCAAGGCTGAAAAACACTGATCGATATTGTCAGGGAAAGTAAAATAAATTATGCAAAGAGCATTCAGATGTAGCACCTAAATTGGGTGGGTGTTGAAAGAGCCGGTCTATTAGCATTTAAGTGATGCGCTCAATTTGGGCTTCGGGTCATATATAAACCCCTGCCGACACAATTTAAAACATCAAGATTAAAACAAACAGGAGCTCAACACAAAGCCTGAACTTAACTTGTGGCATCCCAAGAAGCCTATGAAGCTTTGAAATCAAATCTCCAGCTTCTTAAAGAAATGTCCCTAAAGTCTGAGAAGAATTTGAATGGCATGAATTTAAATGTACAGAACGGATCTAAAATAACTGTAGCAAGAATGCAACCAGGTCATTTCTAGGAAGTAGAGGCACTTCCTGGGAGAGAATCTAGGAAGTAGAGGCACTTCCTGGGAAAGAATCTAGGAAGTAGAGGCACTTCCTGGGAGAGAAACTAGGAAGTAGAGGCACTTCCTGGGAGAGAAACTAGGAAGTAGAGGCACTTCCTGGGAGAGAATCTAGGAAGTAGAGGCACTTCCTGGGAGAGAATCTAGGAAGTAGAGGCACTTCCTGGGAGAGAATCTAGGAAGTAGAGGCACTTCCTGGGAAAGAATCTAGGAAGTAGAGGCACTTCCTGGGAGAGAAACTAGGAAGTAGAGGCACTTCCTGGGAGAGAAACTAGGAAGTAGAGGCACTTCCTGGGAGAGAATCTAGGAAGTAGAGGCACTTCCTGGGAGAGAATCTAGGAAGTAGAGGCACTTCCTGGGAGAGAAACTAGGAAGCAGAGGTACTTCCTGGGAGAGAATCTAGGAAGTAGAGGCACTTCCTGGGAAAGAATCTAGGAAGTAGAGGCACTTCCTGGGAGAGAAACTAGGAAGTAGAGGCACTTCCTGGGAGAGAATCTAGAAAGTAGACGTACTTCCTGGGAAAGAATCTAGAAAGTAGAGGCACTTCCTGGGAGAGAATCTAGGAAGTAGAGGCACTTTCTAGGACAGAATCTAGGAAGTAGAGGCACTTCCTGGGAGAGAATCTAGGAAGTAGAGGCACTTCCTGGGAAAGAATCTAGGAAGTAGAGGCACTTCCTGAATCTAGGAAGTAGAGGCACTTCCTGGGAGAGAATCTAGGAAGCAGAGGTACTTCCTGGGAGAGAATCTAGGAAGTAGAGGCACTTCCTGGGAGAGAAACTAGGAAGTAGAGGCATTTCCTGGGAGAGAATCTAGGAAGTAGAGGCACTTCCTGGGAGAGAATCTAGGAAGCAGAGGTACTTCCTGGGAGAGAATCTAGGAAGTAGAGGCACTTCCTGGGAGAGAATATAGAAAGTAGACGAACTTCCTGGGAAAGAATCTAGGAAGTAGAGGCACTTCCTGGGAGAGAATCTAGGAAGCAGAGGTACTTCCTGGGAGAGAATCTAGGAAGTAGAGGCACTTCCTGGGAGAGAATATAGAAAGTAGACGTACTTCCTGGGAAAGAATCTAGGAAGTAGAGGCACTTCCTGGGAGAGAATCTAGGAAGTAGAGGCACTTTCTAGGACAGAATCTAGGAAGTAGAGGCACTTCCTGGGAGAGAATCTAGGAAGTAGAGGCACTTCCTGGGAAAGAATCTAGGAAGTAGAGGCACTTCCTGGGAGAGAATCTAGGAAGTAGAGGCACTTTCTAGGACAGAATCTAGGAAGTAGAGGCACTTCCTGGGAGAGAATCTAGGAAGTAGAGGCACTTCCTGGGAAAGAATCTAGGAAGTAGAGGCACTTCCTGGGAGAGAATCTAGAAAGTAGAGGCACTTTCTAGGACAGAATCTAGGAAGTAGAGGCACTTCCTGGGAGAGAATCTAGGAAGTAGAGGCACTTTCTAGGACAGAATCTAGGAAGTAGAGGCACTTCCTGGGAGAGAATCTAGGAAGTAGAGGCACTTCCTGGGAGAGAATCTAGGAAGTAGACGTACTTCCTGGGAGAGAATCTAGGAAGTAGATGCACTTCCTGGGAGAGTGATGGCGAACCTTTTAGAGACCAAGTGCCCAAACTGCAACCCAACACCCACTTATGTATCATCGGGTGCTGGGTGGGCGTGGCCCATTGTGTGGGCGTGGCCCATTGTGTGGGCATGGCCCATTGTGTGGGAATAGTTGTGGTGGTAATGGCAGACTGGGTGGGACTAAAAAGTTCAATCAATCAATTCCAACTTTGCGAGATTTTTTTTTCCGTGAGAAGTTGATTGATTGAATTTTTTTTTCTTTGCACATGGCGGCGGAGCTCTAAAGCAAAAAGGTTTTATAAAACCCAGCTGAAGGCCTAGGACTGGGGTGATGGCATGCATGCCCCCAGAGAGGGCTCTACGTGTCACCTGTGACATGCATGCCATAGGTTTGCCACCATGGTCCTAGGAGAACTTCTTGAAATAAGAATATCTGTTCTGATTAGAAAGACTTGATCAATTTGGAAACTGCCGCAACAGCTTTATCCCAAATTATGGGCATTGCGTCAGTGAGTGCCTTTTCCAGAGTTTCCAAAGCTAAGCTGATCCAACTTGGTTCTTCCACAGCTTCATTTTCCTTTTTGAGCTTCTGGATCTCCTCTTTCAGTTGGCTTACTTCCTGCTCGAAACCCTCTTTGAAGAAAGCCTGTTGTTCCTGCAGACAGAGCAAATGTCAAAGTTATTAGACTGAAAACAAAACATGCGACTAGCATTGCAGATGAGCTTCAAGAACAGACTTGGCCATTTTATGTCCGCCCCCTCCCCCCCCCGGGCCACATCCAGCCCTTTGGAGGTCCCTGTCCAGCCTGCATGAGGTCAGTTGGAAATCAGAAATCAAAGGAAAATAAATACACAGTTCTGATCCTTGTAGATACAGACTCCTCTTTTCCAAGGCCTTTGCTGCTCCTCTTTCAAGTGCTGATCCATGGCCTATTTCTTTTCTTTTCTTTTCTTTTAACAAAATTTTATTAAGTTTATATAGATAAGGAAAAATAGGAACAATACAGGTATGGTAAAGGAAGGGGTGGAAGGAAAAAGAGAAGGGAATAAGGAATTAGGGTAAAGCAAGGATAGGTACAATCACATATTTCAACAAACAAGCTACCATCCAGATCATAATAAGAGTAAATATCATATTCAACCATTTTTATCAGAGCTTGGACTATAACATATTAGAAACAATTAGTAAACAAATACGTTGATCTATTAAGTAAACACTACTAATAAAATCTCAAAAAATCCTTACAATCAAAAGTAACAAATGAGAATCAGTAAATCAGGAAAAATAATCATATCATCAAAATGTTAGTTAGAACTCGATTAAAAATCAGTCATCTATTCTAAAATATTGAATCCTTCAAGTTCTAACATGTCTCTAACCATTAATAAAAAATTTCCCAAGTTACAAAATAGATTGAATCATCTTTTTCCTTCATTTCTAATGTCAGTCTATCCATTTCTGCACACTCTAAAATTTTAGCAATTATAATCTGGTCAGATGGTAAATTCTCATTTTTCCAAAACTGGGCAAATACTATCCTTGCAGCAGTTAAAACATGCAATATCAAGTAATCATTCTCTTTACCATAATTAGGTCTTAACATTCCTAACAAAAACAATTCTGGTTTAAATTCTATTTGTAGTTTCATCATCTTTTCCAACCATCTATGGATCTTAGACCAATATTTCTTAGCGATAGGGCATATCCACCAGGCATGGTAATAAGTGCCTGGCTCATGGCCTATTTCTTGACTGTTGCTGCTTTTACACTGTCCACTTCAATATCTTCACTGTAACACAGATAGTCCTTGACATACGACCATAACTGAGCCCAAAATTTGTTGCCAAGCGAGACATTTATTGAGTTTTTGCCCCGTTTTACGACCTTACTTGCCACAGGGGATAAGTGAATCACTGCAGTCATTAAGGTAATAACACGACTGTTAAGTGAACCTGGCTTCCCCATTGATTTTACTTGTCAGAAGGTCGCAAAACGGGATCATGTGACCTATGGGACACTTCAACCGTCATAAATGTGAGTCAGCTGTCAAGCATCCGAAGGTAAATCACATGACTCTGGGGATGCTAAAACAGTTGTAGGTGTGTGAAAAATGGTCATCAGTCACCTTTTTCAGTGATGTTGTAACTTTGAACGGTCACTAAATGAACTGTTGTAAGTCGAGGACTACCTGTACTTATTCTAAATCTATTGTTTTTCAGTTTTGACAGTCTGCATATTTGTTAACACCTGACTGCCAAACTACAGCAAACCGTTGCTGAGATAATAGTGTTACCTTGAGTTTGTTTTCCATCATCTTCTCGTTCTCCGCCTTTAACTGATTCCTTTCTTCCACCATCTTCTCCTTTAATTTCTGAAGGTTCATCTCATAACTATGTTTCTGGTCCTCCTCCTTCTCTTTGGACATTTCCATTTCCTGCTTCTGGACCTTCTGCTCTAGTTCTCTGGCTTTGGCCTTCATTTTTTCATCTAAAACCAGGGGGGGAGGAGAAAGGACAAACATCTGTAGGGGGCGGGCAAGGTGGCTAGACGTGATAGTATGCAAATAATGTGATAAATAAGCATGGAGTGAAAGGATTTATATTCCTTGCAGATAGCTGGACATTTGCATTCTTTTAGAGAGTCCTTGAGGCCACTCAGAGCAGACATGTCAAACACAAGGCCCGGGGGCCGGATGTGGCCCGCGAAGTGGTTTCATGTGGCCCACGAAGCCATCCTGGAAACAGTGAGGGAACGGCCCCCGCTGCCTTGGCCTTGACCCAATTTTGTGGTGGCCATCTATGCTGAAACGCATTCAGTCTTAGCTCCACAAGGCCGTCTACAAACAGCGAGGAACCAGCCCCTGCCATGTCAGCCCCGCCACCTGGGTGCATGCTGGGGAGGTGTCGTCCTTTGTGAGGAATGAAGAAATGCACCATCGCCTGGAAGTGGCCAGCAAATGGCCCTTGCCTACTTCACATATCCAGTTTGATGGGCTCCAGCAGAGGGGTTTCAGCAGGCAGTAAGGCTCCTCCAATGCACCATGCCTTGGTGCTTGCCCCGGTCCCACCCCCTTCTGCCAGAGACCCTCAGATCTGTCCCACTCCTGCCCAGGCCCCACAGGCTCCCTTGCCGTGAACGATGTAAAGCTGGCCATGCCCACCCAGTAGGCCACCCCCACTCCATCCACGCCCACCCAGTAGGCCGCACCCACCCTGGCCACCCCCCCCCCCAGGGCAACCGCAATACTGATGCGGCCCTCAATGAAATTGAGTTTGACACCCCTGCTCTAAAAGAAGACAAATAACCAGCTGTCCGCAAGAAATATAAACCCATCCACTCCCCACCATCCAGTCAGAGCTGAAGAAGCTTCTTGGATGAGAAGCGAAACTTCTTCAAGGAAAAACAAAGGAACTCCAGTTGCCTCCTGAAAAGGCACCTTTGGGGTAGAGAGGAAAGCATTTTTCACAATTAGTGATAGGTTGAAAGATAAACAAGGCTTTTCCCACCTTCAAAGCAGAACCAACAGCCCAGCATCATTTCACAACGTGTTCACGCTTTTACCTTCTATTTCCTTCTCCTTCTTTTGAAGGCTCAGGTCGCTTTTAAGGATGGTTTTGCGGATGGCTTCCTGGCGCTGGAGGAATTCTCTCAACAACTTCCCTGCCTGGTTGAAGGGGGACAAAAAGAACAATCTGGAGTGTCACAGAGATGCCATAGCGATGAAAAGGAAGTACTTGTCAAAGTAAAGCAGGGAACAATCTCCCTGGAGGGTGGCACAGCTATCAAGTGGGCAACAAAAAGACAAAATGAGTATTAATTTAGCAACCCTCCTCATTTTTGTACCATGATTCCTTTCTTAGGTGTCTCCAAGAATAATTTCTCCACATTTTCAAGGTCATTTAGAAATTCCTGGTGGCCACCAGCTCGGGAGTAGCTTCCGTTCTCGACGTTCTTCTCCAAGTTCTCAGATAGCGAGTTCAATAAAGCTGAACAGATTTCAGAAGATTTCAGCTCATTTTTGCTGCAGTATTCTTTCTTTTTGCTTTCCAGAGTTTTCTGGTAGGGATAAAATGTAACAAAGCAAGAGGTGAGACTTGACAAATAAATGCATCTTTTTACACTGCATAGATTTGGGTGGTCTCCCAGGATTAAATAGAGCAGTGTTTCTAAACCTTGACAATTTTAAGGCATGTGGACTTCAACTCCCAGAATTCCACAGCCAGCAATGCTGGCTGTGGAATTCTGGGAGTTGAAGTCCACATGCCTTAAAATTGTCAAGGTTGAGAAGCACTGAAATAGAGCTTCACCACCATTTGAAATTGCAGATGCTCTTCCTTCAATTGAACTAGAGCAGTGTTTTTCAACTTTGGTGGCTTCAAGATGTATGGACTTCAACTCCCAGAATTCCCCAGCCAGCATTGCTGGCTGAGGAATTCTGGGAGTTGAAGTCCATACATTTTAAAGCCACCAAGTTTGAGAAACATTCAACTAAAGGCTCATTAATTCTTAGAGCAGGAACGTAAGTGTCCAAAAAGGCTGATGATATTGCTTGCCATCCTGTCAATCATCCTGGATGTTCCTTCCAGTATCCATTCTTTATCCTTCTAACCCAGGGATAGGCAACCTCGGCTCTTTTATGACTGGTGGACTTCAACTCCCAGAATTCCTCAGCCAGCATGGCTCAGCTTGGAAACCTCTCCCTTTCCCCTCAGCATGGCTGGCTCAGGAATTCTGGGAGTTGAAGTCCACGAGTCATAAAAGAGCCAAGGTTGCCTACCCCTGTTCTAGGCAATCAGGCATGTTTCTAAACAAAACACCTGGCTGCAGCCATCCTCCAATTGATGAAGAACATTTACACAACTTGTGTGAAACTATAACAAGAATACTATATTCTGTATTTTTATAGAAAAACTACCGGAGGCCAACTATATGCAGCCACGGGCCTTAAATATTGTCTACATATCCGCTCTTATATAGAAAATACTGGAGGCCAAGATACTAGATCCCAAGGATCCATAAGCTCTAAATACTGTCTATGAGTAGAGGACCTATAGAAAGCTACCAAGAACCATCAGTTGATGGAATCAGAAGAGAAGCTGGTATCCAAGTCTGGCAAAAGTGTGAAGTACGGAAAGTGTTGAATAGACTGTGCATGGATAGAAGATCCAGGGACAATCTGCACAAATGTGGCTATCCGGTAGCGCCTTCCTTTTGTGATTGTGGTGACAAGAAGACAACAGATATGTATACCTGTCCTTTGTGTCCTGATGAGTGCACACCTGAGGACCTCATGGCAGCACGACAAAATGCAATTAATGTTGCTAGTTTCTGGGCAAGAACTATTTTAACTTGTAGATATTTTAGTCTTGTATCTTGTATTTCATGTCATATCGTATGCCTTATTTTAACTGTGGTGCTTCTGATGCAAATAAACATTGTCTATGACTGTTTGTCTCTTACGATTACCTACCACGAGTTCAACCTGGAACTGACGTCTATCATCCTTGAAAGCACGAGCCAGGAACATCTGAAGGGCTTGTTCCTCACATTTCTTGTGTACATCCAGAAGTACCTGGAGATTCTCAGTGGGTAGCTGCAAGTTTTGCTCCATCAGTTCCGCATAGCGAACAACAGCTTCCTGCAGGGCTGCCCTGTTTTCAATCTCAGCCAAAGCCAGGACTGTGTTCTCCAGACAGGGAACTTCCCCTCTACAGATAGTATCTACATAGTCCTTGACTAACTTTGCCAACACTGCATAGAAAAAAATAAGATTGTGGGAGCATCAACTGCGTATATGGGTGCAAGTAGTCTAGACCAGTGGTGGCGAACCTGTGGCACGGGTACCAGAGGTGGCACTCAGAGCCCTCTCTGTGGGCATGCGCGCCGTCACCCCAGTCCTAGGCCTTCAGCTGGGTTTTATCAAACCTTTTCGCTTTAGGCCTCTGCTGCCGTGTGCAAAAAAAAAAAAAAAAATCCAATCCATCAATCAGTTTCAACTTCTCGTGGGGAAAAAAAAAGATCTCGCAAAGTTGGAATTGATTGAACTTTTTAGTCCCACCCAGTCTGCTGTTACAACTGCAGCCACGCCCATCCAATGGGCCACACCCACCCAATGGGCCATACCCACCCGGCACTCGACGATGCATGTGGGTTTTGGGTTGCAGTTTGGGCACTCGGTGTCTAAAAGGTTCGCCATCACTGGTCTAGACCTACAAGCATAATTGAGGGCATGGTCATGGGTCACTTTTTTCCAGTGCCATTGCAACTTCAAATAGTCACTAAATGAATGGTTGTAAATTGAGAACTACCTGTATTATTATTGTAAGTCAGGGACAGCTAGGAAAATTTTGAGCTCCTTATCCCTCATTCTCTTGAATGAACCCTCCAGAAAACTACCCAGGCTGTCTTGTGATTCCTCGCCAGCCAGTGGATCCGGCAGCTGAGTGTGAGGAATCAGAGGAGGAGGAGGAGGGGCCTGGAGTGACATCAGAGTCAGAGGAAGGCTCTGAGGAGCTCCAAGACTTACAGTCTGAGGAGGAGCCTGGCCCCTCCACTCGCGCTCAGGCTGAGACACAGCTGTGCTGGGAGCCTGAATTGGACAGTGATGAAGAACAGTTGGGACAAATCCCGGATGCACAAATGCACAAGCAAGAGAAGCGAGTAGGACAGAGGGATGCAATGGGGCAGCTCCAAAGGCAAAGGAGAAGGCATTAGGAAGCCATGGTTTCGCTGAATTATAAAAGGGAAGGTGTGGGAGGTACTGGTTGCCGAAGGCAGTCATTCGTGTTGAGGATCAAGTTTCTGTGGACTGTGTTTGTTTGCCTTGGACATTGACTCAGGTCCATGAGAATAAAAGGAGTTGTTTTTTTCTTACGGTTCCTGCCTGTTTCTTAGAAGAGGGGTTTCTCCTTGTGAGCATAACTAGGACTCACGCAGGCTGAGACAGAACAGGCTAGGAAAATATGGCAGTCGCCATCCATCCAGATTGAAAAGTAACTTGTGGCACAGTGCCTTAAGACTTTTTGAATCTCGTCCATTGTGAGCAGTGGTCACATGATCAAAAATCCACACGCTTGGCAACTGGCATGTACTTATGACGGTTTCAGTGTCCCGGCGTCATGTGATCAATTTTTGAGACCTTCTGACAAGCAAAATCAGCGGGGGAAGCCAGATTCACTTCACAACCGTGTTACTAACTTAACAACTGCAATGATTCACTTACCTGTGGCAAGAAAGGTTGTAAAATCAGGTAAACCTCACTTAACAACCGTCTTGCTTAGCAACAGAAATTCTGGGCTCAATTATGGTCCTAAGTCGAGGACAACCAGTAGTAATAACAAAAGCAGAGGCACTTACAGTCGCCTGTGACCACGTGCCCGCCGGGAAGAGTCTTTTCTTGAGAAGTCTGAAAGACGTAACGACAGAACGAGTTCACTGGTTCCACAAATTCAGACTCCAGCTCACTATCCTTCATCTGTTCCAGGTGAGGTAACTCCTTCCTCTTAGCAGGGCATTCCAAGACGAAGCACTTCCGTTTGGGGAAGAATAATCGGATGCATTTGTGTGGCAGATTGAGTATCTCATTCTCTTTAGTGTTACCTGGAAAGCAACATGTCCACCTTGAAGGTGACTCTGAACTGCATCTGCTAATCGTGGACATTTCATTGGGGAAGGTGATACTAGAACTCACAGTCTCCTGGTGATGGGCCCAAAGTTACCCAACTAACTTTCATGGCTAAGGTGGGATTAAAATTCACCGTCTCCTGGTGATTGGCCGAAAGTCACCTAGTTGACTTTTATTGGCTAAGGTGGGACTAGAACTCACAGTCTCCTGGTTTCTAGCCTGGTAAGATCACAGAGGGAGATGAAAGAGGAAAACTAGTGACTCTTTTCACTGGTTTCATCTCTTGAGGATTATTCTGTGTCTCCCTGAAGAAGGAAAATTTAGAGCCGATGGCTCCTCTTCCTTATCCAAATGATCATGTAGATCTTCACACTGCATTTGTCATCAGTTACCTTTTTTTAATTCCAGAGCGTGTTCCAGATATTCGTCCTCCGTGATAGGTTGTCCATCCCATTCCAGCTGTATTTTGAAATCTCGTAGCGTCCAGATAAAAGTTGGGAAGAAGCGAACAAATTCAGAAGCGTCTCCAGGAGCGGAGGAAGCCTTCGCCTTAATATGTTCCGACAGCTCCGTCACAAAACTGTTGGCCCAGCTTAGGAATCAAGCAATGTACATGTGCAGTGAACAAAGAGGATGGTCTTGAAGGCTAGAGAGAAGATTTGCTACCAGGGCAATTGTCAAATAAATGAAACAACATTATAGCCTCAGAATAAAGTGAAATTATCCCTGTTGAAGAGCAACGTGGTTCTAATAACAGACTTCACCTATTCATTGCCTCAACGCATTTTCTGTGTCTGCACAATACCCCGTAATGTAAGCCAGTCAACATTCACTCTAATCAAGCTTAAGCATGTGGGGAAAGAAAGGAAAGAAGGAAAGAAACTATTTTAATGCTGAATTTAATAACAGCAGCAAGACTATTGGTGGGTCAGTATTGGAAAAAAGATTCTCTGCCTTCTTTGGAAGAATGGGTGTTCAAGGTTTCTAACTTAGCAGAAATGGCTAAAATTTCTGCTTACTTAAAGGACCATTCACAAAAGAGATATGTTTCTGTATGGAGAAGATGGATAGAATATATTCAGAAGAAGTATGGAACAACAAAGTTTCATTTATTTTATGAATAATGGATTTTTACTAAATTATGAATTCAAGTTTGCAGAGAGTTAAGGGTTATTAGGACTCCGTTTATTGTATAAGTAGTAAATTTAAATTGACTATGTTTAGTTTTCTTTTTTCTTCTTCTTCTTCTTTTTTTTTGTAACCCTGTATTGAGCTCTGGGAAGTCGGGGGAGGGGGGAGGGGAGATTTTGGTGATAGAGGATTGCTCAGGCATTTTCCCTCAGACTGCATCTGATTGAGAAGAAGAGGAGAGGGATAAGTAAGTAGAAAGATGGAGGAGAGAGGGAGGGGAGGAGAGGAGGAGGTAGAAGGAAGGGGGAAGTGAAGAGATGACGGGGATGCGGTCTGGGGGGAAATGGGTGAGCAATGTCGGAATTTGTGTTCTATTTTAACTTATGTATCTGAATTTTTTTTCTTATGATTGTAATGAAAATAAAATAATAAAAATTGGAAAAAAACATTCACTCTAATCAAGCTTAGCAGGTGGGGAAACACAGCGGATGAGTTTGGAAATGATGTAGGCAAGGATTTTCCTGAAGTCTACCTCACTCCATATCTGACTGCATAAAAGAGGGGTGGGGAACTATGGCCCTTTTATGACTTGTGGACTTCAACTTCCAGAATTCCTGAACCAGCCATGCTGAGGGGAAAGGGAGAGGTTTCCATGCTGAGCCATCATGGCTCAGGAATCATGGGAATTGAAGTTTCCCCACCTCTGGGGTAGCACAACAGAGCTATCCTTGAGAAGGATACCGAAGCTTTTCCAGAGCAGTCTGATCAATGGTCCCCACACTGTTGTAGACCAGGGTGCTGCTCAGCAACACGGCCAAAGCGAAGATCCAGTCATCAGTTTGAGGATTGCACTAAAAAAATATAAGAACAGGTTATGATCTGTTTCTGACTTCTGCTGAGTTTATCTATGTCTATTAGTACTTAATACATCACCCTGCCAACAAAAGTGCGTATAGTCCAGGCCATGGTTTTCCCAGTTGCAATGTATGGCTGTGAAAGTTGGACCATAAGAGAGGCTGAACGCAAAAGAATTGAGGCCTTTGAACTATGGCGCTGGAGAAGACTCCTGCGAGTCCCTTGGACTGCAAGGCGTTCAAACCGGTCAGTCCTAGAAGAGATCAACCCTGACTGCTCTTTAGAAGGCCAGATCCTGAAGTTGAAACTCAAATACTTTGGCCACCTAATGAGAAGGAAGGACTCACTGGACAAGGGCCTAATGCTGGGAAAGATTAAGGGCAATAGAAGAAAGGGACGACAGAGAATGAGATGGCTGGATGGAGTCACTGAAGCAGTAGGTGTGAACATAAATGGACTCCAGAAGATGGTAGAGGACAGGAAGACCTGGAGGAACGTTGTCCATGGGGTCGCGATGGGTCGGACACGACTTCGCAATTAACAACAACAACTTAATACATGCCGGTTCCCAGTTTTGATCATGTGACTATGGAGATGTTGCAAAAGCTGAACATGTAAATACTGGCCATAACTCCTTTTTTTCAGCGGCCCTCACTTCAAATGGTCACTAAATGAATGGCTGCGACTTAAGGATAGCTGGCTGTACATACTGCACAACAAAAATCCCACTGATGTGGTGCTTTATACAAATAAATATAAAAATATAAAAATCACCTTTTGTATATCACCTAGTCCCTCAGTATCCAGAAGGACAAGGGTTTGATGGGGCCGTTCTGGATAGGGAAGGCACCACATCCAGATCCCTTTCGTTTTTGCTTGAACTGTGGAACCCAAAGAGAAACCTACAAAAAAAAATATGCTGTATGTTTAGATCCAAAATCGATTATCCTATAATGGGTGAGCTGCAGGTAATAGGAAATAGCTTTTCCACCACCCGTTTTTATGGTTGTTCCCCTGTCGTTTCAGCTTTAAACAGGAAGATATTCCAGGGTGCACTTTCCCAAATGGAAACGCTTAGCAAAACTCACTTAATCGATGTCTCACTTAGCAACAGAAATTTTGGGCTCAACTGAGGTCATAAGTTGAGGACTGTCTGTAATGGTATGTGGGAAAGGCCTCGTGAGTCTAGGCCAGGGGTAGGCCACCTTGGCTCTTTTATGACTCGTGGACTTCAACTCCCAGAATTCCTGAGCCAGCCATGCTGAGGGGAAAGGGAGAGGTTTCCATGCTGAGCTATGCTGGCTCAGGGATTCTGGGAGTTGAAGTCCACGAGTCATGAGGGGGCCATAGTTCCCCCATGCTGGCTCAGGAATTCTGGGAGTTGAAGTCCACAAGTCATGAAGGGGCCATAATTCCCCCATGCTGGCTCAGGAATTCTGGGAGTTGAAGTCCACCAGTCAAAAAGAGCCAAGGTTGCCTACCAGAGACACTGGCTAGAAAATGATCGCATACGAAACAGCACATTTACAGTAGATCAGAGGTCCCCAACTGGCACCACGGACCAGTTCTGTGGAGAAAGGTTTTTTTGCGGACGGTGTGTCTGTATGTGTGTGTGTGTCTGTGTGTGCGGGTGTGTGGTGTGCTGCCTGCATCCCGCGAATGGGGCTTTCTTTGTATGGACCGTTTGCTGGCATGCCATTCCCGCCACCGATCCACGGACCAGGGGTTGGGGACCCTTGCAGTAGATGGATAGTGAGAAGAGCAAGACCTCAGAAGAGACCCGCCCTACTTTCTCCAAAGGTAAAGATGGGTGAAAAATTGCACTTTCAGGCTTGCAAAATTCTGCCAATGCAGTTTTACAATAAAATAAAATAGCTCATTTGGTCAGGCTTCCTGCTAAGCCAGGCAAACCAGCCCCATGAGGCCAATAATCATAAAGGTGATGATAAAATTCTGCAAGTTAAGATCACGTCAGTCCAAAAGGTTCCATGTCACTTGTTGAGGATCATTCATGGTGGGCATTTGGGAAAGTTAGAATCCTGGATTCCATCGGAGCAGAAAACTCCGGACTTGGGGAGTGTTCATTTTCCCACCCAGGTTTTGCCCTTGTCCATATTGTCTTGGTTCACCTCAGCCCTTCTCACCTGGAGTTTTGCCAGCCAGCCTGTTCATCAGGTAGGACTTGCCTGTCCGGTACAGTCCCACGATGGACACCACCACCACCGGATTCCGGATATCCGAGAGCAAACGAAGGGCCTCTGGTGAGACACGGAGGCCATCTGGCCTGTTTTCAACCAGGCACACCGGAGCTTCCATCCTGGCTTTGGGGGGAGATTCAGCTGCAGAGAGGATGGGGCAGCTGCAGCACTTGTAGAGGTATTAATACCACTCTACAAGGCCTTGGTAAGGCCACACCTGGAATATTGCATCCAGTTTTGGTCACCACGATGTAAAAAAGATGTTGAGGCTCTAGAACAGTGGTTCTCAACCTGTGGGTCGGGACCCCATTTGGGGTCGAACGACCATTTCACGGGAGTCGCCAAACAAGGCTGTCCACCATTTTTCCCCCTTTTCTTTGGCCACGCCCCTGGCACCCGGTGATGTATAAGTGGTTGGGGGTCACCATAACATGGGGAACTGTATTATGGGGTCGCGGCATTAGAAAGGTTGAGAACCACTGCTCTAGAAAGAGTACAGAGAAGAGCAACAAAGATGATTAGGGGACTGGAGGCTAAAACATATAAGGAAAGGCTGCTGGAATTAGGTAGTCTAGTTTAACGAAGAGAAGGACAAGGGGGGACATGATAGCAGTATTCCAGTATTTCAGGGACTGCCATAAAGAGGAGGGAATTAAGCTATTTTCCAAAGCACCTGAAGGCAGGACAAGAAGCAACAGATGGAAACTAATCAAGGAGAGAAGCAACCTAGAACTAAGGAGCAACTTCCTGACAGTGAGAACAATTAATCAGTGGAACAACCTGCCTCCAAAGGCAGTAAATGCTCCAACACTGGAAGTTTTTAAGAAGAGACTGGACAGCCATTTGTCCGAAATGGTGTAGGGTTTCCTGCCTGAGCAGGGGGTTGGACTAGATGACCTCCAAGGTCCCTTCCAACTTTATTATTATTATTATTATTATTATTATTATTATTATTATTATTATTATTATTATTATTATTATTATTACTTTCTTCACAACGAGCTCCCAAAGGAGGAGCATCAAAGACCCTTCCCAAGTTCATGACTTCCAAGTGACATCAAGCCCATCCCAGGCCAGTGAGCGTATGGGCTTTGTAATCCCAACAGATCCCTTCTCAAGCCATCTTCCCCCCAGACCTCCAGAAGCCTCTCAGCTGAAGAGCAGCGGGTCTCCAGAGCAAAGCCAGACCCCGGTGGCAGACCCGGACTGACAGGGGCCAAACGGGACCACCTACCCAGCAGCTTCCCCAAAAGTTATTTCTGAGCAGAAGCCCCTCCAATCTCTCGCCCTTCTGGCCCCCAACGGACCCTCCCGCCAGACCTTCATTCCCCCTAACCTGGTTTCGGGGGGGGGAGGGCGTCTCTGCTTCTCGGATCCCCCCCCCCCAACTGCTCGGCCAGAGCCAGCAAGGGGGACCCACCCAGCCCCGCCGGAGGACCCCAAGTCTGGAAAGCTCCTGCCGCTACGGCGATGCACCGGATCCCGGAGGGGAAGCCGGGGGAAAGCGTCGTCCCCTCCCCGGGTCCCCCCCCCTTACCGTCTTTGCACAGGAAATCACAGGATCGCCCGCCGACTCTCTTTGCAGCCTGCAACGATCTCTCTCCCGTCCAGCCCTCGCCTCAGGGGTTTTATTGAGCTGCAGCAGCAACAACCGAAAGCGAAAGCAAAGCGGGCCGGGCTTTCAGCTTCCCGGAAAGCGGCTGGCTTCTCAGCAAGTGAGCTAAGCGCCTCTGAAGCGCGCAAAGTCCCTGCCAGGAGGATGAGCCCCCGGACGGATATCGGATGGAGACGTCTTGGCAACGCCGAGTCTGACCTTTTGCACCGTGTTTTGCACGCGTAGGGGTTTTTCCGCCTGGTTGGTTTTGCACTTTGCTTCAGGGAACTAGGTATGTTTATAGCCTAAACATGTAGGGGAGAAAACTATTAGCAGTTTTCCAATACTTTAAGATCTGTCACTGGGAAGATGGGGTCGATTTATTCTCCAAAGCACCCGAGGCCAAGACAAGAAGCAATGGGTGGATGCTCCTCAGAGGGAGACCCAAGCTAGAATTAAGGAGAAATTTCCCGATGAGAACCGTTAATCAATGGAACAACTTGCCACCAGAAGTTGTGGGTGGGTAATTCTGGGAGTTGAAGTCCACCCATCTTAAAGTTTGCCAAAGTTGAGGAATACTTCTAGAGGTTTGCAGCTTAGATAATATACATATTCAGTGCTTTTTTTGTAAAAAACAAAAAAACAAAAAGGGGCCGGAACTCACACATGTCATACAACCCATCTTGCCTACCCTACAAGGTTTACCTCTGTAGTTGAAAAGAAACAAGCCTTCAATTTTTAGTGTATCTAAAAGATTAGGATTTTGTTCAAGGCAACTCTGGAAAATCTTGTCAAAAAAAGGTGCTGGAACTCTGTTCTGGTGAGTTCTATAACAAAAAAAGCGACAGACATTCATTCATTCATTGCAACTCTTAACATAACCTTGTTGTTAGTTGTGAAGTCGTGCCCGACCCATCGTGACTCCGTGGACAACGTTCCTCCAGGCCTTCCTGTCCTCTACCATCTTCTGGAGTCCATTGAAGCTCACACCTACTGCTTTGATGACTCCATCCAGCCACCTCCTTCTCTGTCGTCCCATTCTTCTGTTGCCCTCCATCTTTCCCAGCATTAGGCTCTTCTCCAGTGAGTCCTTCCTTCTTATTAGGTGGCCAAAGTATTTGAGTTTCAACTTCAGGATCTGGCCTTCTAAAGAGCGGGTCGGGGTTGATCTCCTCTAGGACTGACCAGTTTGATCGCCTTGCAGTCCAGGTGACTCGCAGGAGTCTTCTCCAAGACCATAGTTCAAAGGCCTCCATCCTTTGGCGCTCAGTTTTTCTTATTCTTCAACTTTCACAGCCATACATTGCAACTGGGAAAACCATAGCTGCATTTCTCCAAAATGCCATGCTCCATTAGTTATAACCTGGATTAGTTAATTTCAAACTCAGGTTAGTTTAGAATTTCAGTGGTATTGTTTGTGCAAATGTACCCAGAGTTAATTCAAAGGCCACTTTGGATATGTCGGGCCATAATGAATCCAACCATAATGAATTTATCATAACCTGGTTTTCCCTCCACGTGCGCTAGATAATAAAATGTATATTTCTTATGTCTCTTTTAAGGAAACTTTTTTTTTTTTTGCTGCCTTATATGAAAGAGGCGACACCCCCCTTTTGCACTCTCTTGGACGCTCCCTTCTCCCCCACCCATGGTTTTGCAATGGTTCGGCCCAACTGTTGCTCGTTCCCTCCTCCCCAAATGTCCGGGGGGGCTGCCCCCCCGCCGGCGCGTGCGTCAGTCCCTCGGCTTTTTTTTTGTATTGACTGAAAAAGCGACAGTTTAAGTCCTGATCAAAAGCAGGCAAATTAGGAGGATTTTGATTGGTCGCTGGAGTTGAGGAGAAATAACAGCCCGTCCTTGATTGGCTTGCCGTGCCCGGGGAGGATGTTAGGAAAGCTGCTATTGGCTGCGTGGCGGCGAGCTGTTGCAGGGACCGTTTTATGGGCAGCAGTAGTGGGAGTAGTAGAGAGGTTTCAGAAATGCAGATTTAATTCTGATTTAGAGTTTCTCTCTGTCCCGGTGCTCGCCAGCCAAATAATCCTTATTATTGCAATATTTGTTCCCGAGTGGCAGGATAACGCTGCACGTTGCTGCCTAATCCCCGAGAGTGACTTGAATCAGAGAGATCGAAGATCCATTTGTTGCCTCACAACCATCCTGGTTGAGGTCGACCCTTCTAAATCTTTTCCTCCTCCTGATTGAAAAACTTAAAGAATACCTCTTTTCAAAAGGCCTGGTTGCCTTGCAGGCTCTGCAAATCTCTGCCTAGCCAAAATGTTGGGAGGGGGGCTCCTTTGGGTGCAGCTGCATCCCTGCTTGTTGTGGGGACCCTGCTTCCCACATGGGGCTCTCGCCCATGGTGTGAAGCCCTCGGGCCTTTGGTTTTAGTCTCCTGTGAGGCCTGTCCCCTTTGCAAGCCATGGGTTTGTGCTTCAGGATAGGGGATGCCAGCCAGTTGCGGATGAGCCAGCAACCCAGGATTAAACAAACCGTGGCTTAGCTCAAGCTGTGATTGCAGTGGAAACGACCTGAGGTGTTTTCAGAAGATGCCACATGCGAAGGGGCCCCTCTTAAGATTGCCAGCTGGGGTCCAGTCTGCACCCTTTGTCAACCCTTTATTGCCCTGGTTCATTTATTTCATTTAATTTCATTTATTATAGCTGCCCAACTTTGATGGACTCGTCCAACTCCAGCATAATCATTTCAGTCATATCAAAAGGACTCTCCCGGTGTCTGTTCATGAATCTTGCAAATAGGAAATGTCCCCCAAGCAATTTATGGTGACAATTAAAGGGCCAGGCTTTCCCACAAAAGCCCTCATTTCACAGAGGAGTATTAATTCCTAGCCTCTAATTGTCATCTTTATGGCCTCAAGCCAACATTTCGCTTATTTGGAAATAAATTTCCTGGAAGCAGATATGGCTCGCTTTAAAATAACTCTTATTTATTTTCCTGTACATGCTAATCCCCCTCTGACAGTGCTGCTCTAACGTCGGAAAGCAACCACAAAATATAAGGGGAAAATGCACGTTTCAGATAAGGGAGAAGATAGGAGATGCGTGGCAGGGTTGAATCTCTGGGGGATGTTTCTGATGTGTATCAAACATGGTACCCGAATTGGAAAAAAAAAAATCAATTTCCTAAACTGTAGCCAATTAACTCTGTGGTTGGATCTACTCTGGCTGAGGAAGGGCCTTTAATGTTCTCTTCCTCCCTCTCTTTCAGGTTCGTACATTATGGGGGACAATGAGGATTTTGATGCTGCAGATGCTCCAAATGTTCAGAGCAGCCTTTCAGACTCCTCTCTGGAGAACAGTGTCACTCAAGATGACTACCCGCTTCCCACCACTGCACGGTCTCCAACCTGCGCCCGCTGCCGTAATCATGGCATCAGGGTGCCATTGAAAGGCCACAAGAACTGTTGCCAATTCATGGACTGCCAGTGTGACAAATGCATCCTTATTCTGTAAGCTAGGAGGGGGAACATGGTGAAAATAAATGTTGGGCTTTGCTGTTCTTGGGAGATGCGCTTGCAGCTGATGGCCTCATCGGAGGGGTCCCAGTGGGAAGTGTAGATAACTGAATTGCTCTTTGCAGGGATTTGGTAGCTTGGAGACATGTTCAGGAGGATAGGACCTGCTTTTGTTTCCGAATAACAATGGCTTCTGGTTGACTTAACAGCTTCTGGGCCAGTAACTTGCTCTGGAAACATAAAACAGCCTTGGAAGTCTACAGTTTTAATGGGAGAAACATGACTTTATGCTAGCATCTTAAAGGTATTTTTTAAAGCAGGGATAGACAAAATCAGACCCTCTAGGTCAGGGTAGGCAACCTTGGCTGTTTTATGACTTGTGGACTTCACGAGTCAAAAGAGCCAAGGTTGCCTACCCCTGCTCTAGATTGTGCTAAATTTCAAGTCCCATTTGCTTTTGCCAAGGGAAGATAGTAATAGCCCTTAGACTTATATACTGCTTCACAGTGCTTTACAGCATTCTCTGAGCAGTTTACAACATCAGCCTATTGCCCCCCAACAATCTGGGTCCTCATTTTACCAACCTCGGAAGGATGGAAGGCTGAGTCAAGCTTGAACCGGTCAGGATCGAACTGCTGGCTGTGGGCAGAGTTCTCCTGTAATAGTGCGTTACAACCACTGCGCCATCACTTGAATAACACAAGGGGACGCTGCAGGTAGTTGTCGACTTGTGATCACAATTGAGCCCAACATTTCAGTTGCTAAGTGAGTTTTGCCCCATTTTACGACTTTTCTTGCCGTCGGATCACTGTAATTGTTACGTTACTAACATGGCCGTTAAGTGAATCTGGATTCCCCATTGACTTTGCTTGTCAGAAGGTCACAAAAGGTGATCCAAGGTCTTCAGGACATCATCAATATGAGCCAGTGGTCAAGTCTCCAACTTTTGATCACATGACCATGGGGATGCTGCAACGGTCGTGTCAGTCATAAATCACTTTTTTCAGTAACATTGCCACTTCAAATAGGCTCTAAATGAATGTCGTAAGTCAAGGACTACCTGTATTAATTACCCATCCCTTGTAGAGCCCAAGGAAGATCCATGAAGCTGTTCCTGAGCTACAAGCCTTTATATCCCCACTGGGTTAATTGACAGGCTAACCTCAAAGTGAAATTGAGGAAGAACAGAAACGCACTTTGTACCCGATTTACAATGCATCCTATTCTCTAAGCAGTGGAGTTTATTATAAATGGAGGCAATAAAGCCTCTTTGTTTATCTTGACCTATTGAACTTCTTTTTGAGTTAACTTGCTGTGTGGTCACTGGGAAACATTACTACAATAATAGTCCAAACAATGCTATGTGATGGTTTGTCTTTACTTCTTCTGGAATTTTATTGTTTAAAAAACAACATTGGGTCTTCTAGGCAGAGACGCCGGATCATGGCTGCCCAAGTGGCTCTTCGTAGACAACAGGAGATAGAGCTGAAAAAGCAACTTGGCGATGGTTTTCTCCAGCCTCAGGACAGTGGGCCACCCAACTCCCTCCTCTTAGTCAAACCGCTGAAAGCGATTAAACCATGCAGGGGAGGGACAGGTAAAACCATTTCTAGCATCTGCGAAAAATACAAATATATATATAAAAAAAACTGCAGTGGCTTAGCAACGAGTAGATGACCTAGAACAGTGGTTCTCAACCTGTGGGTTGGGACCCCATTTGGGGTCGAACGACCATTTCACGGGGGTCGCCAAACAACGCAGTCCGCCATTTTTCCCCCCTTTTCCTTAGCTGTGCTACTCCCTTTTATTCTATTGGCTTTTGAAAGCCAATAGAATAGACTCTCTTGAATAGAGTCTAATTCTATTGGCTTTCAAAAGCCAATAGGAATTGTCCAGGCTGTCTCTGCCCTGCTGAGCCTGCCAAAAGTCCCATTCTGCAAACGGTGCTGCGCCAGTTGAGTAGTCCTCGACTTACAACCGGTTGAATGGTCCTCGACTTACGACCGGTTGGGGGTCACGGCATTAAAAAGGTTGAGAACCACTGACCTAGAAGAAGTGTTTCTCAACCTGAGCAACTTTTAAGATGTGTGTGGACTTCAACTCCCAGAATTCCCCAGCCAGCCATGCTGGCTGGGGAATTCTGGGAGTTGAAGTCCACACATCTTAAAATGGTTGATATTGGGAAACACCGATCTAGAAGACGTGACACATCGCTACTGGGGAAACTTGTGTGGGAATCTGACCATCAGTCAAACGGACTCACCCTGGATTGTTTCTCCCCTTTGATTGGATAGAGAAAAAGGAAAATGAAGAACCCTTGATTGAGGCGGAAGATGGGCTCCGGGGAGCTTCAGGACTCCTGCGAAGACAAAGGCGGAGAACTGCAAGGAAGGTGAGAAAAGGAGTTCTTTTTGACCGAGTCATTTTAACAGCCGATTCCACAGAGCGCCTAACCCAGGAGTAGGCAGCCTTGGCTCTTTTATGACTCGTGGACTTCAACTCCTCAGCCAGCACGGCTCAGCCTGGAAACCTCTCCCTTTCCCCTCAGCACGGCTGGCTCAGGAATTCTGGGAGTTGAAGTCCACCAGTCATAAAAGAGTCAAGGTTGCTTACCTCTGGCCTAACCTGTGATAGTTCCCTGAAAACAAGATCCCTTTAAAAAGTGTAACAGAATCCATGAAAAAAAAAGGGGGGGGGTTTAAGGATTGCTATGTATCTCATTCTATTACCAATATAGTATCCTCAATTTACAACAGTTCATTTAGTGACTGAAGTTAAAACGGTCCTGAAAAAAGTGACTTATGATCATTTTTCACACGTATGACCGTTGCAGCATCCCCCGTGGTCATAGGATCAAAATTCATATGCTTGGCAATTGGTTCACGTTGCAATGTCCCGGGGATCATGGGATCAGTTTTTGCAATCTTCTGACAAGCAAAGTCAGTGGGGGAAGTCAGACTCCTTTAACAACCCCTTGTTATTAACATAACAACTGTGGTAAGAAAAGTCATAAAATGGGGCAAAACTCACTTAATAAATGACTCGCTTAATAATGGAAACATTGGAGTCAATTGTGGTAGTAAGTCAAGGACTACCTGTACCTCTTTTATGCAGAAAACCTGAATATTTTGTAGGAAAAACATTTACCTCTGGGTATTTAATAATCACCAGGTAGCCGTTCGTTCTCACCAACACGATTTCCTAATTGGCTGTGCTTTCATCCCACGTGCTTCTAAGAGCCTAAGACAAAAGTGTCAGTACCTCTGTAATGAACATAGAATTATAGAGCTGGAAGGGACCTTGGAGGTCTTCTAGTCCAACCCCCTTGCCCAAGGCAGAGACCCTCTACCACAGAAGCCCCCAGCCTTTTGGGCACCAGGGATCGGTTCCATGGAGAGAGGTTTTTCCGCAGACTGGAGGGTGCGTGGTTTCGTGTGCTGCCTGCATCCCGCCGATGAGGCTTTGCTTGTTTGTGCGGACCGGTGGCTGGTATGCCACGGACCAGTACTAGTCCACGGATCGGGGGTTGGGGACTCCTGCTGTACTGTTCTGAACGAATGGATATCCAATCTCTTCTTCAAAACCTCCAGTGATGGAGCATCACAACTTCTGGTGGCAAGCTGTGCCAATGATTAATGGTTCTCACTGTCAGGAAATTTCTCCTTAATTCTAGTTTGGGTCTCCCTCTGAGGAGCTTCCACCCATTGCTTCTTGTCCTGCCCTCGGATGCTTTGGAGAATAAATCAACCTTGTCTTCCCAGTGACAGTCCTTAAAGTATTGGAAAACTGCTAATAGTTTTCTCCCCTACATGTTTAGGCTATAAACATACGTGCAATGTGCAAAACCAACCAGGCCAGGGAGGAAAAAATATAAAGAACCAGACCTCACTGTTCTGCTCCCGAAGCAGAACCAAAACCATATCCTATATATCCGTGGTGGCGAACCTATGGCACGCGTGCCACAGGTGGCACACAGAGCCCTCTCTGGGGGCACGCGTGCTGTCGCCCCAGTCCTAGGCCTTCAGCTGGGTTTTATAAAACCTTTTCGCTATAGGCCTCCGCCACCATGTGCAAAAAAAAAAAAAAGGTTCAATCAATCAATTTTAACTTCTTGCGGGGGAAAAAAAAGATCTCAACAAAGTTGGAATTGATTGATTGAACTTTTTAGTTCCACCCAGTCTGCCATTACCACCGCAGCCACAGCCATCCAATTGGCCACACCCACCCATCACCCGACGATACATAAGTGGGTTTGGGGTTGCAGTTTGGGCACTCGGTCTCTAAAACAGTGGTTCTCAACCTTTCTAATGCCATGACCCCATAATACAGTTCCCCATGTTGTGGTGACCCCCAACCACTTATACATCACCGGGTGCCAGGGGCGTGGCCAAAGAAAAGGGAAAAAAATGGCGGACAGCCTTGTTTGGCGACCCCCATGAAATGGTTGTTTGACCCCAAATGGGGTCCCGACCCACAGGTTGAGAACCACTGCTCTAAAAGGTTCGCCATCAGTGCTATATACAATAGTGATTTTCTAAGGGTAACTAGCTAACATGTTTTGTGGCTCTAAGTAAGCTTTTCTGAAGTTCCAAAAAACAGACACACTTATTTCAAAAACTTAAAATCGTCCCTGCAAATAAATTTCAGTAAGATAGATGCTAGTGGGGGGCGGGGGATTCATTGACATCACAGAATAACGTGTAAGATGTTTAGCAGTGCAGTATTTACAAGATGTTTCTTATACTGAGTTAATGTTATACGTTGTCCTTCAGGAAAATTCCTGGTTGCCTCTGTCTCCCTGTTCAAAAGTCAGTGAGCTGCCCTGGGCCCTTGGAGGACATCAAGCCTCTCCTTCTTGGTTCCCACCTCCTCTTGCAATGCCCCCGAGTTCTTTCTCTCCTTTTCTGCCTCCGGAACATCCCTTTAATCTTCCACCTATGGAAGGTAGGTAAGCCATGAGTCATGAAGCTAGCATGGGTGTCCAACCTTTTGGCTTGCATGGAGGCTCCACTGAGTGAAGAGGAATCATTTTGGGCTGGATATAAAATATATAACATAGTCAATGTATATAAATCCCATAGTAAAAGTTCACCATTTTATGGGGCCGCATTACTAACGTGCAGCCTGTGAACCGTGGGTTGGACATACTTGGTGTAGTGATTAAGGCGCCAAGTTAGAAACCAGGAGACCCTGAGTTCCAGTCCTGCCTTAAGGGGGTCCTTGGTGCTCTCTGAGTTTGGTTGTTTTCTTGCAGACCTTTCATTATCCAACTTAGAAAACAGCCAAGCTCAGAGAACAAAAAGGACACCCTCGTTTCAACCCTACAAATATTCTCCTTTATTATTCCCGCCTTAGCCAGATAAGTGGCCTTGGGTGACTCTCAGCCCTAGGTAGAAGAAGGCCAGAGCAAATCTTTCTGAAAAATCTTTCCAAGAAAACAGCAGGATTTGTCTAGGCCAGGGGCAGGCAACCTTGGCTCTTTTATGACTGGTGGACTTCAACTCCCAGAATTCCTGAGCCAGCATGGCTCAGCTTGGAAACCTCTCCCTTTCCCTTCAGCATGGCTGGCTCAGGAATTCTGGGAGTTGAAGTCCACGAATCAAAAGTGCCAAGGTTGCCTACCCCTGCCCTATACATTCCAGACAAATGGCTGTCCAGTCTCTTCTTAAAAGCCTCCAGTAATGGAGCACCCACAACTTTTGGAGGCAAGTTGTCCCACTGCTTAATTGTTCTGTCAGGAAATTTCTCCTCAGTGCTAGGTTGCTTCTAGAACGAAGGAGAAATTTCCTAATGGTGAGAGCAATAGACCAATGGACTAGACCTCTCCCTTTTCCCTCAGCGTGGCTGGCTCAGGAATTCTGGGAGTTGAAGTCCACAAGTCATAAAAGAGCCAAGGTTGCCTATCCCTTGTCTAGGCAGTTGGCAGGACTCATTGACTGAAAGGCACAAAGAGAGAAAACAGCATAGTTCAGAGTTTGATGTGGGCTCAGTAAAACAAGCACTCAAATATCAGGATGAACATACGGTTGTTTTCTGGCTTCACTTTTCCTGTTTACATCTAAATGGAATAGTGACTCACCTCATAGAACTATTCTTAGGAATTATGCAAGGAATTTTTCGTGATTAACAGTTGGTTAATAAATACAAAAACGCAATTCACATTTAGCACGGATTCGAGTATTTTTTTTCTCTCTCTCATTTCTTATATTTTGGGAAAGGAGATGTATGGGAAAAGCTCCTTTTTATTTGAAATCTTCTAGTATGCTGCCCCAATATTAAAACTGATTGCAATTAACTCAAACTACATGAACATGATTATTGTGAAGAGTTCTAAGTTACACTAGCAGTCAATGAATTATTTAAATTTACAAACTCCACCGTTCGCCTATCGGGAACCCAATTTTCATCAAATCAGCAAACCCAGGAATAGAAATCAAAAGTACCATTCATATATGCCTTTGCTAGCAAATATTGAGCGGCAACTTAATAGAGATGGTCTGGGACCTAACATTTTTGAAAACCATTGGTAGATGCTTTCAGCCAGAAGACAGCTTCAAGGAAGTATCAGGACTACACATTAAGTTCCAGCTAAACTGATTTATTGCTCATGCCTATACACAAGAATCTAGTTAACTAATGGTCAGGATTAAATTGGGATTAGATAAGAGTTAATGGGATTCAAAAGGGGCTGAGCTTGGACGATTCCAGGCTGATTCCTCTTTTGACTCTGCCCCCTCCAGGCTCTGCCTTTTCCTACAGTTGCCTGCAAAAACTCTTACCTCGGCCTCAGTTTTATACTGTAAGCCCAGTGCTTTTTTTGCAAAGAAAAAGGTGCTGGAACTTACACACAGTTCCGGCTCCAATCGAAAGCCCTTTATGGAGTGGGGGGAGGAGAAGAAACCGTTTTAGGGAACTTCCGAGGAGCAGATCACTCACCTGGAAAAGGTCTGTCTCCTCTCTGCCGCGGTTCCTGCTGCTACTCTGGTCTGAGACCAGGGGAGGCATCCATAACCCCCTGCGGCCCAATCCAGGCTCTGAAGGCCTGGAAAAAACCTCTGCTGCCTGGATCCATGGCTGCGGAGTGATTTTTGCGCCCCCCCCAACCCGCCCGATCTGGGCTTCAGAGTTCTGGAAAAGACCTCCGGAGCCCAGATCTATGGCCACGGAACATTTTGCGCCCCCCCCCCCAGTGGCCCGATCCAGGCTCTGGAGGCTTAGAAAACACCTCTGGAGCCCAGATCAGGCCATGCGGGGGCTACAAAATCGCTCCACGGCCATAGATCCAGGTGACAGAGGTCTTTTCCAGGCGTCCGGAGTTCAGATCGGGCCGCAGGGGGCCATGGACTCGTCCCCTGGCCTCAGATCGGAGCAGCATCAGGAACCGTGGCAGAGAGGAGACAGATCTTTTCCGGGTGAGTCCCGTGCAGCAGGAAGGGAGGGCGAAGCATGAGAGCCTTAAGTGAATGCTCGTAACTCATTCGGGCTGGCAGCTTAGAAGGAACTGATTCTTCCATTCAAAAAAAGGTGCTGGAACACCGTTCTGTGCATTCTTTGACAAAAAAAGCACTGTGTAAGCCTCTTATTGGCCTTCCTATTCCAGCTCCACAACAGCCACTTACTTCTTTTCTGCAGGTTGCAACGGAAATGAAGCTTTATACACGCCAGAGAGTTACCTGTCTGCTCCAGGGCAAATGTTTCATCACGTGCCTGGTGCTCCCTGGTGCCTCCCTCCACCTGCTGACCTATCGAGGTACACTGGGCTTGTGAATGAAGGCAAATATACGTGTCCCGGGATAATGTCGCAGGATCCACCGGAAGCAGACTTTTATTCTTCCAAGCTTTCAGACACGTGTTGGAGCCCATCGTCAGAGAACTTTTCTCTCTCCAAAAAGTGACACATTTTATAGAGAGAGAAGTTCCCTAAGGGTGGGCTCCAGCACCAGCCCAAAAGCTTGGGAGAATAAGATCTCTGGTCCCGGTGACCGACTCAGATTGGATCCTGCTGCAGTGGGCTCCTTCAACATTTCTGCACAGAGAAGATCCTGCAGAGGCTTCAGAGGAAGCAGCACCTAGCTGATCCTGGGTGATTTCAGAAATGCCCAGCAGAGTCCAATCTGCTTCATACCTAGATGGGAGGCCATCAGGAAATCCCAGGGCTGTGAACAAGATTGGGAAGTTGAAAAATACCGTTGCAAAAATCAAGCTGGATTGATTGATTTTACTTATTTATTTATTTATAAAAATATTTGGCCACCCATCTTACAGCCAAAACTCTGGGTGGCTTACAGTCACATATGCAGTTAAAACATAAAAAGTTAAAACCAAGAACTCATGGGAATAGAAATAGAAATAGAAATAGAAATAGAAATAGAAATAGAATAGAATAGAATAGAATAGAATAGAATAGAATAGAATAGAATAGAATAGAATAGAATAGAATAATAAACTGGACTGGACAGAACAGAACAGAACAGAACAGAACAGAACAGAACAGAACAGAATAGAATAGAATAGAATAGAATAGAATAGAATAATGGAGATTGGACTGGACTAGACTAGACTAGACTAGAATGGGCTGGGCTGGGCTGGAATAAGAATAATAGGATAGGATAGGATAGAATAAAGAAGAATAGAATAAAGAAGAATAGAATAGGAATAGAATAGAATAGAGAAATTAGAATAGAATAGAATAGAATAAGGAATAGAATAGAATAGAATAGAATATCTTTATTGTCATTGTGTAACTCACAATGAAATTAAGTGGGGCACAGTGGGAGGAGGAGGTGGGATCTGTTATTAATCAACCACCATTGTGATGATCCCCCACTGGGGTCCCAAGCCAACTGGCAGAGCCACATCTTTGGGCCCTTACTAAAGAATAGGAGGGTTAGGCCTAAGCTCACATCGGTGGGCGGAGCACAGCAGAGAAGGCCCTCCTCCTGAACCCTGCCAGCCGGAATAATCGGGCCGACAGGACCCACAACAAGCCTCCTCTGCCGGCACGGGTGGGACGGGCCAATCCCAGTGGAGTGAGACGATCCCTCGCTGATCCCTAAATAAACGGGATAAATGTTTGGCCCTGACCTTGTAGGCTTCTCGAAAGGCATTGAAGGCCTGGCTCTTTTCCTAGCATCTGGGTCAGGATGACTAGAGCTGCCAGTTGGAGTTATTTAATCCTGATTGTGCTTTAATAGTGGCATTTTATTTATTCGTCGATTGTTTAGTCCCAATTGCCATTTAATCGTTTTAGTTTACTTTAATGGTGTGTGTTATTTTTCTTCCGTGTTGTAGTTTAATGATATTTGCATGCCACCCAGAGTCGCGTTTGAGTTCTAAATGAATTAACAATAAGCTCAACCGGAGTCAAGATTATCTTGAGGGGAGAAATGAACTGAACCAAAATTGGTTTATAGGAATATATTTACAAGAAGCAATTAAGCTGTGCCAGTTGGATGAACTATGGGAAGTTTTAAATACTCGATTCCTGCCGTTTTGAGAAGGGAGGTTTTTAGTGAAAAGAACGAAATCCTATCAGATTTATAAAAAGAAATTCTGGCAGAATTATTTAAAACGATCACCAACCCTGATTTTTTTTTTCATTCCATCTGAACTAGATAATATAGGGGCTCCCCTGGGGCCTAGATATAAATAAACCCAAAAAACAAGACAGGTTTTATTATAGAAAGGTGTGAAATAATGCAGAGAAAATTAATACTTTTTAAAATACCAAGTTTTATTGGTAAAGAAAGAGCTCAAACTAGTTAGTTCTATATGGACGGAACTCTTCCACTAGAAGAATATAGCAGGAACATGCAAAAAAACATGAACTAGACAGTGGATTAATTGGATAAATAGAAAACAAAACCGTTGGAATAATGGTTTCGCAAACAGTCTTTTAAGATCTGTCTAGTTCAGGGGTAGGCCACCTTGGCTCTTTTATGACTCGTGGACTTCAACTCCCAGAATTCCTGAGCCAGCCATGCTGAGGGGAAAGGGAGAATTTCCAAGCTGAGCCATGCTGGCTCAGGGATTCTGGGAGTTGAAGTCCACGAGTCATAAAAGGGCCAAGGTGGCCTACCTCTGTCCTAGAGGGAGCTGGGCTGTGTGGTTAGCATAAACCTAGACCAGGGGTAGGCAACCTTGGCTCTTTTATGACTCGTGGACTTCAACTCCCAGAATTCCTGAGCCAGCCTGGCTCAGCTTGGAAACCTCTTCCTTTCCCCTCAGCATGGCTGGCTCAGGAATTCTGGGAGTTGAAGTCCACGAGTCATAAAAGAGCCAAGATTGCCCACCCTTGGTCTAGGCCCCATATCCCAAGAGGAAAAAATGCTTCGGCGAGTGGAATAACCAACATAAATTAGCTATCCTGTATTTTCTAGTCCCAGTACAGGAGCAGATGTCTACACTGACAAACATTTACTCCAAACAGCAAGTTGTGGGTGTACATGTTAGGAGAATTTGGAAGAATGACAGCTGTAGAAGTCTCTCTTCCCCCTCAACAGTTTGCGTGTTTTAGCAAGGACAGAAGGCAAGTGGGAGACAAGCTGCCACTAAAGGATGTTACAAGCAGACCTCTCTCCTTTTCTCTCTCTTTTTCCCTTTCCCTCTCTCTCTTTCTCGCTCCCTTTCTCTTTCTCTTTACAGCCGCATGGCTCTGAACCCCATCAGTGGCAACATGGATTTGAGCCGCCGTTCGAAGGCCCCACCGCTGGGAAGTCAGGTATTTTGTTTTAGCTGTGTTGAGCCCAGTGAATTGGAGTCATTCTATTTCCGGTCCTTCTCAAAAGGAACCAACGTGGGGGAAGTGGTGATCAAATGTTTCGTCTGTGGGCATGAGATGGGGACAGACTCATAAACCGACTCGTTTGGTGGGGTTTCTCTCCGTTTCCATTTATTGGCCGATAGGAGTATGATACAGGTAGTCCGAGACGTACGTCCACTGGAAAAAAGGATCCCTCACAGTTTTGACCGTCGCAGCATCCCACGGTCACACGACTGTGATTCAGGCACTTGGCAAGTCAGTGGGGAAGCTAGATTTATTTTAGCAACTGCAGCAAAAAAAAAGTTCGTAAACTTGGGTGCGACTCACTTAAAACAATTGGAAGTTCGGTCCCCAACGTATGGCCGTAAGTTGAGGACTGCCTGTATTATTATAAACAAATGGAGAGAGTCGTTCAGGAGCTCCTACTTCAGTGGTACTTTTGAATAGATAACATATTGCTTCCTGATAACCCACTGGCTGAATTTAACCAGCCAGCAAGGTTAAGTTAAAATACCCAGGCACTTTGTGGAATAGGCATTTGCAGGAGAGGCAAATGGCAAAATGTGCATGGCAACCTGTGATGCATCTTTAATGGTGGCTAGCCACCGACATCTCTGGTTTGTGGTTTGCCATGGTGTGGGAAGCTAGCAAATCTTGGGAACTAGGCCAATCCATTAAGCCATTTCTATGGAATATTTGTTTGGGCATGGCCTTTTATATAGGCGTAGCAATTAAGTTGTTAACGTGGCTGTAGGGTTAAAGTACATTGCAGGAAGCCAGGCATTCTGGGGGGGGGGGATTGCTTCCTGCTTAGCACAGATCGCTTCCTTGCAAGACTCTTAATGTCTGCAGACGCATGCAATAACATGCAATAACTTACAGAATGCATGAACTGAGCAAAATGAATAAAAGAGAATGCATAGCCAGGGAATAAAGCAGCCTAAATGTTATCCATAAAATGATTAATTAAAGCAAACAGTTTTGCTCTTTGTCACTGGTAGGTGGTCAAATGACTAATTTCTGGGAAAGTGTTTCGCACAGTGTACTTATATAAGCAACCAGCACGTCATCTTTGTCCCACTTGAATTGAAAGAGCTATAAAAAAGTACCGAGGTCACGTGCCACCTCCTAAGCCAGCCATGGGCTCGGTTGAAAACAGCTAGAAAAAGCCTAGGGTCTTGTCTCTTTTTCCAGAATGTCTAGGTCTGTTATCTTAGGATGAGGTCGGAGAGAGTAGGTTTACCCTGCCCTTATAGTGTTTCCTCACTTGCTGGAAGAACAAATTGGATAGCCCAGTGGTGGCGAACTTATGGCACGGGTGCCAGAGGCGGCACTCAGAGCCTTCTCTGTGGGCACGTGTGCCGTCGCCCCAGTCCTAGGCCTTCAACTGGGTTTTATAAAACCTTTTCGCTTTAGGCCTCCGCCGCCGTGTACAAAAAAAAACAAAAGGTTCAATCAATCAGTCAATTTCAACCTCTTGCGCGGAAAAAAAAAGATCTTGCAAAGTTGGAATTGATTGATTGAACTTTTTAGTCCCACCCAGTCTGCCGTTATCACCGCAGCCACGCCCACCCAATGGGCCACACCCACCCGGCACCCGACGATGCATAAGTGGGTTTTCGGTTGCAGTCTGGGCACTCGGTCTCTAAAAGGCTCGCCATCACTGGAATAGCCACTTGTCTGGAATAGTATAGGGGAGGGGTAGGCAACCTCAGCTCTTTTATGACTTGTGGACTTCAACTCCCAGAATTCCTGAGCCAGCGTGGCTCAGCTTGGAAACCTCTCCCTTTCCCCTCAGCATGGCTGGCTCAGGAATTCTGGGAGTTAAAGTCTACGAGTCATAAAAGAGCCAAGGTTGCCTACCCCTGGACCAGTAGTTCTCAACCTGTGGGTCGAGATCCCATTTGGGGTCGAACGACCATTTCACGGGGGTCGCCAAACAACGCAGTCCGCCATTTTTTTCCCCTTTTCCTTAGCTGTGCTACTCCCTTTTATTCTATTGGCTTTTGAAAGCCAATAGAATAGACTCTCTTGAATAGAGTCTAATTCTATTGGCTTTCAAAAGCCAATAGGAATTGTCCAGGCTGTCTCTGCCCTGCTGAGCCCGCCAAAAGTCCCATTCTGCAAACGGTGCTGCACCAGTTGAGTAGTCTTCGACTTATGACTGGTTGAGTAGTCCTCGACTTACGACCGGTTGGGGGTCACGGCATTAAAAAGGTTGAGAACCACTGCCCTGGACTATGGTTTCCTGCCTGAGCAGGGGGTTGGACTGGAAGACCTCCAAGATCCCTTCCAACTTTCTTTTTCTGAACTGAAAATATACCTTTGGTGCTGTGGACGTCTCTTTGTTGATCGTGAGGTTAATTGTGTGTCCTGCTCTCTTTCAGCCCAACCCCTCTGCTCATCTTTCAGTCTGGCCCACCAGAGGATTCTTCTTCTCGCCCCTTTCTGAGCAACAGCTCCAGAAAGAGGCCGCCGAAGCCCTGATGGTGTTACGAAACGCCCCCCAGTCTAGCCCCATGCTTTCCCCTTCAGGCCTTCTGCCCTCTGCCAACAGCGTCTCTGCCCTCATGGGCCCCCCGAGTTTCTCCCACCCTGTGGAAGCCATTCCCAGCCCTGCCATCCCCAGTCCTTTCCAGCCACACCCCTCCTACTTCATGCCTCCCTACGTTCCGCAGGCTGTCAAGGCCGCTCGGGACATCGCCTTGAAGCGAGCCCAGGGAGCCCCAGAACCGGTCAGTGCTCACGCCGAACAAGTTTCCGGGCCTTTCTTCTTCCCCCTGTTCCACGGTAGCCCTATTCCCCAGCAGTACAAAAACGTCCGTCTGTTCTCAGTGGCTCCATCTCGGGGGGCTCAAGTCGCGACCTCTCTAATGGTTTCCAGCATCCAGCCCGTCAAACCTAACCTGGGTGGGGCTTCCAGTTACAGCCACTACCATTTTGCCCCCAACTTGAGAACTTACCACAGCGCCTCGGGCTCCGTGCAGAAGACGGTCTGCTTGCCCCAAAGCATGGAGGCCGGCTGGATTTCCGAGACCAGCGTGGAAGTCCTCGCCCCAGCTGGCTCCGCCCCTGGCAATCCGCCCCTGCTGCCTTTCTGCGTCTCACCCCTGGATGTCTCGGTCGCCATGCCCTTCCAAGCAGGGTCCCCCGTTGGGATGGATCTGCACATGCTCCCTCCCACTTTGTCTCTGCTGAACCCCGGCCCCTGCCTTCTCGCTCAGCCCTCTTTCCCAGACCCAATGCTTTTCCCAGGGCAGATGTCTCCGCAGTGCCAACCCCCGCCGTTCCAAGAAGGAAGGTGTTCCAGCAGAAGTCCCAAAGAAGACGAGCAGGGCGAGAGCCTTAAGGCTCCTGGCAGCAAGAATGGAAAAGGTAGGCTTAGCAGAAAGCATTACCTAGCCGTTTTGAGCATCCCTGGAGAAGGCACAGGTTGCAAGAATACGTCTTCTGGAGATGCTCACACAATTATACCTGTAATTAGATTGACTTTCCTTGTCTTACATTTACACTGGAGGGAAAAAATAAAAGCTACAGAGAGGCATTCTGTAGCAGGACCTGGGAGACACACCTTCTCAACTGTAGCCCTTGCCCCGGAGAACCCTTTAGCTCTTGAGATACAACAGGGCCCCCATTCTCCTGGCCTTCCTTCTGGAAGGCCTTACAAAGCTGCCTCCTTATCCCAGTGTAGTCCCATTAAAGTTGATTTGAGGATCTTTGGGTTAAAAATTTTTAGTCATAGCAATGTGCAGGAAAGAGAAACCGAAAAGATCTGGTGAAACTCTACGTGGGTTATATATACAGGACCCTACAGGATGCCAATGGTTATAATGCTACAGCCACCAGGGTTCACTCTGGATCAGGCAGAAGGCAATGAAGTCTCAGTTATTTCACCTCTGGTTGACCTGGCAAACCCTGGCTAGCGACATGGTCTTCCCAAATAGCAGGCTAGTATGTTACAGCTGTGAAAGCTGGACCATAAAAAAAGGCTGAGCGCCAAAGGATTGAGGCCTTTGAACTATGGTCTTGGAGAAGACTCCTGCGAGTCACCTGGACTGCAAGGCGATCAAACCGGTCAGTCCTAGAGGAGATCAACCCCGACCACTCTTTAGAAGGCCAGATCCTGAAGTTGAAACTCAAATACTTTGGCCACCTAATGAGAAGGAAGGACTCACTGGAGAAGAGCCTCATGCTGGGAAAGATGGAGGGCAATAGAAAAAGGGGACGACAGAGAAGGAGGTGGCTGGATGGAGTCCCTGAAGCAGTAGGTGTGAGCTTCAATGGACTCCAGAAGATGGTAGAGGACAGGAAGGCCTGGAGGAACGTTGTCCATGGGGTCGCGATGGGTCGGACACGACTTTGCAACTAACAACAACAACATGTTTTGCCAAAGTCTGTCTGAATGGCTGTCATAAGTTCAGCGTAATGGTGATATAGGAGGCTAAGAGTTAGTGACATGTAGCATCAATGATCTAACAGGCTTCCTCTGTTCTGTTTAGATTCCACTGAAGCAGGGCCCAACTGCCTGACACCCAAACAAGTGCCCAGCCAGTCTGCTCAGCAAGTCTCAGAAAATGCCCAGCAACCAAGCCAGCTTCCCCGAGCTGACAGCTTCCCTTCGGTGTCTTTTAGCATCGGCCAGATGGGCTCCATCTCCCTTCCCAGTTAGTCTTCCGATTGGAAAGGAAAGGACAAGGCTGGCCAGACTTCCAACTGCATCTGCAGAATTCTAAGGGGGAGGTTTCCGTTAATTAAGGTCCCATTCCAGGCCAGGAGTCTTTGAAAAGGAGAGGGGGGCTTCTCAAGGTTGCAACCTTGGCATGTTTTTCATTCTACTCGCAATTGGCAGTTATTGCAATTGCTGGTACATTTCTTGGTGTAACACACTAAATCCAGATCATTTAACGTGGTCCATTCATTTTTGACTAGTTCTGTGCCTGGTGGAAGGCAAGAGTTTCTTTGACTTGAACAACGGTTATATTTTAGACAACAGCCAGTTTACTTTTAGTAACAAAAGTTTGTGCGTATTCCTTTTTGGAAAGGGTGTTTTCCATCGTTCTCTCGAATCATAGAGATATGATTTATAAGCAAAAATAGGCTTAGCGTTTCCTGAGAATTTGACCTGCTTACGGGATCTTGCATATGATTGATTCAGGAGAAGAGACATGCGTTGAATTCATGATCCAAAAGTTTGCTGCCAATAAAAAGTTGAGAAATCCTGCTGGTTTCTACTGTCTTTTATCAAAAGGTTGCAGTTTTCAAAGACTTTTAGAATTATGTCATGTTTTACAAAGGATTCTTTAATCGGGGCTATTTAGATTTCAAACCCAATATCCTGACATTGCGCACTCCCAAGTATTTTGTTACGTTTATGTGTCAACTTTTAGCTCCACGTTGAAGGTAGCAAAATTCTGGGGACTGAGAAATTAAGCATATTTCTTTGATAGATACCTTCGAATGAATATCTTTTGAGGATATGCAGGATAACTATAAATGTATTATTTAAATAACACATGGCGATCTGACAAAACCACTTGACATTCCACCATGTGTAACCCCTCTTCTGATTTATTTCACCTTTCTATGAATTTCTGGAGTTATTTCCATAATCAGATTTGTCTTACCAGGTCTGTTTCTACAAAAAATACTACGCAGCTCTCCCGTGATAGATCTCCCTCCCCCCCTTAGCTAACAAATGTCACCTCATGGTGCTGTGTGATCCCAATTTAAGTGAGCTGTTATTTCCCCAAAATTGCCTTTAGTGCTGATCTAGGCACCATCCCTTTTACTTGAAGATTTGTAGAAAACTGGGACACTCGTGTGGCTGATGGTGGGACTACAACGATTACTATTAGCTCGTCCCAAACATGCTTTTCACGAGGCCCCTGGGCTTGCTTTTTTTCTCTTTGAAGATGTTTCGCTTCTCATCCAAGAAGCTTCTTCAGCTCTCAGAGAAGCGAAAGGTCTTCAAAGAGGAAAAAAAAGTCCAGTTGCCTCGTGAAAAAGCACCGTTGGGACAACCACAGCATGGAGGACTGAGAATCTCCATAGATATTAGTCCGCTCCTATTTAAGTACAATAGAGAGCACATCTATCCATGAAACAAGATAAAGCAGGCTTCGTTAAATGATCTGAAGGAAATGCAGAGCTCTAAGGCAGTGTTTCTCAACCTTGACAATTTTAAGGCATGTGGACTTCAACTCCCAGAATTCCACAGCCAGCATTGCTGGCTGTGGAATTCTGGGAGTTGAAGTCCACATGCCTTAAAATTGTCAAGGTTGAGAAACACTGCTCTAAAGCCTCAAATGGATGTTCTGTGAACACACTTGACATACATTAAAAATGAAATTCTGACACCCGCTCTCCAAAGGAAATAAATACAGGTAGCCCTCGATTTACAACAGTTCATTTCGTGACTGTTCAAAGTGAGTTATGACCGTTTTTCACACCTGACTGTTGGAGCATCCCCACGATCACGAGATCAAGATTCAAGACAGTTGGCAACCGACTCACACTGATGACATTTGCAGTGTCCTGGGGTCATGTGATCAGCTTTTGTGAACTTTCAACAAGCAAAGTCAATGGGTAAACTAGTTTCACTTAACTGCAATGATTCACTTAACTGTGGCAAGAAAAGTCAGGGGAAAAGGCAAAATTCACTTAACAAATGTCTCACTTAGCAACATAAATTTTGAGCTCAATTGTGGTTGTAAGCTGAGGACTACCCATATGTATCCATACACAGACATGCACACACATATACTTTATCTATCTATATCATCTATCTATCCATCCCAGTATCTATTATCATCTATCCATTCTCTCTCTCTCTCTCTCGATCCATCCCAGTATCTATTATCCATCTATCCATTTATTACCTATCTATTATCTCTCTCTCTATCTTTGTTGTTGTTAGTTGCGAAGTCGTGTCCATCCCATCGCGACCCCCAGGCCAGTGGTTCTCAACCTGTGAGTCGGGACCCCATTTGGGGTTGAACGGCCATTTCACGGGGGTCGCCAAACAACGCAGTCCGCCATTTTTTCCCCCTTTTCCTTAGCTGTGCTACTCCCTTTTATTCTATTGGCTTTTGAAAGCCATAGAATAGACTCTCTTGAATAGAGTCTAATTCTATTGGCTTTCAAAAGCCAATAGGAATTGTCCAGGCTGTCTCTGCCCTGCTGAGCCCGCCAAAAGTCCCATTCTGCAAACGGTGATGCACCAGTTGAGTAGTCCTCGACTTACGACCGGTTGAGTAGTCCTCGACTTGCGACCGGTTAGGGGTCGCAGCATTAAAAAGGTTGAGAACCACTGCTCCAGGCCTCCCTATCTATATCTAAATAGCTATCTATCTATCTATCTATCTATCTATCTATCATCTATCTTTCTCAATTACCTTTTATCCGTCTATGTCTGTCTGTCTGTGTATCTCACTATCTACCCTCTATTTTCTATTTGTCTATCTCGCCTTCTAGCCCTGTCTACCTACCTAATCTACTTCATCTATAACACACACACACACACACACACACACACACACACACACACACACACACACACACACACACACACACACACACACACACACACACACACACATATATTAACCAAACTATCCAGCTATTAGCTCTTGTCTACTTTATTATGCACACAGAAACTCCCCTTTGACCCCCGGAAACGAGGATGCTGGGACATGTAGTTTAATAACAGGAAGCCACCAGATTGGGGAAAGTAAGTCGATGTTCGCCTGTAACTCTTGACTGAATCCAACGACGCGTTAAACCAGGGGTAGTCAACCTTGGCTCTTTTATGACTCGTGGACTTCAACTCCCAGAATTCCTGAGCCAGCTAAGCTGGCTCAGGAATTCTGGGAGTTGAAGTCCACGAGTCATAAAAGAGCCAAGGTTGACGACCCCTGCGTTAAACGCACAGATGGCTAGAAACGGCCAGGACCGTGGAGCGCACGGAGCTGATTCCCAGGCCGCAGTTCCACAGGGGATGTTCTCGAGCAGCCACGTCGACGGAGGCAAGAAGCGAAACGCTGCGGAAAGATGAATGGGGCGCCGCTGCCTGGCTAGAGTGGCCGATACCATTGGCTTCACCGCGAGGGTGCGGGAGAGAAAAACGAGCCGCCGCCTCCTCCTCCTCACCCCCCAGTTTGCCTGGTCAGGTGGTTCCGTCCAGGTGGCTGCAGGAAACCGCTTCCAAAGCAGAGCTGAAACCGGGCAGGCGGAGCAATTTCTCGGGCGACTTAAAGGACGGGAGCGCGGTTGATTATTGTTTTTTTTTTCCCCGATCAATACCGTGAGTAGTTTCCTCCCCCCTTTTTTTTCGAATGGTACCGGCTATTTGCAAGCAGGCAGGCAGGCAGCTCGCAGGGAGAACGAACCATTGTGCACGGGGGGGGAGGCACTGGATTAAGCCCACTTTTATTTCCTCCCCGAAAACGGAAGAACGATGAGTCAGTTCGAAGGCTTGAAAAGGAAGAGAGAAGGAACATCGCACAAATATCAAGAACTATGTGTGATGGGGAGGGGGGGTGTAATCCTCCTTCGCGTCTCCCGCCCCTCTCTCCCTCCGTTCATGCATCGATGCATTGATCCACTACTGTTACGGGTAGATGGAATGGGTGCAAACGATGCCCTGGGGAGCGAGAGGTGCAAAGGCTTGCAAATATCAAACCTCTGCAGATAAATTAGTCTTTTGCTGTTGTGGAAATCAAAATTGCTGACAGCTTCGCCATTACTTCTTTAGCTGCAAAAAAAAAAGGAAAAAAAAGACAGCCCTACAGGCGTTGCACAGGATAGGTTCAAATTCCCCCCCCTTTTGAGGAATGGTATCGCCGAAGCTTTGTGCAGTGGAGGGGAAATGAATAGACGAAACCATTAGCGCTCGACGGGCGAGGGAGGATCGGTGACTGGCAGGACCGTATTGTTCCTGGACGGAGCTGCTGGGCGCAGGTCCAGCTGTTCCTTTGCTTTGCCCTCTGGGGATGCGGAGCAAGGGGGTTCAGTGGTGGGATGCGCTGTGGAGGTGCGGGGCGGGCAGGCCACTGAGCCAGGAATTGAGTCCCTGTTCTCTGCTTTGTCTCCTTTAGGATCTGCAAGCATGAGCGATGGCGACAAGAACCCCGCCAGCACCCCAACCCCAGTCATCGACGTGCAAGGGGATGGACGATGGATGTCGTTGGTGAGCTGCCTGCTGAGCTGCAGGGATCCGGCCGAAAAGAGGGTCTTGGGGTGGAGGGGAGGCCTCTTCCTGGAGCTGTACGGCCACTCCGTTCCTCTTGATTCTGTTCAAGAATAACCAGAGTTGGAAGGGGGACCTTGGAGGTCTTCTAGTCCAACCCCCTGCTCTGGCAGGAAATCCTATATCAGGGATAGGCAACCTTGGCTCTTTTATGTGGACTTCAACTCCCAGAATTCCTGAGCCAGCATGGGGGAACTATGGCCCCTTCATGACTCGTGGACTTCAAGTCCCAGAATTCCTGAGCCAGCCCTGCTGAGGGGAAAGGGAGAGGTTTCCAAGCTGAGCCATGCTGGCTCAGGAATTCTGGGAGTTGAAGTCCACAAGTCATAAAAGAGCCAAGGTTGCCTACCCCTGGTCTAGGTTTATGCTAACCACACAGCCCAGCTCCCTCTAGGACAGGAGTAGGCAACCTTGGCTCTTTTATGACTCGTGGACTTCAACTCCCAGAATTCCTGAGCCAGCCATGCTGAGGGGAAAGGGAGAGGTTTCCAAGCTGAGCCATGCTGACTCAGGAATTCTAGGAGTTGAAGTCCACGAGTCATAAAACAGCCAAGGTTGCCTACCCCTGCCCTATACCACTTCAGACAAATGCCATCAAATTTCATTTTCTGATGGAGGGGGCACAACTTCTGGAGGCAAGTCCTTCCACCCATTCTTTTCTTTAATTCGGGTTGACTCCTCCCACACACCTACACCTTCCAGATGTTGGAAAAAGCCAGCTTCCAGCCTTCCCAACCGGTACGCCCAATGAAATTCTGGGGACTGCAGTAAACAAAACATCTTGAAGATGCTGGTGAAGGGATGGCTAACTTTCATTTTATGTTTATTGTGAACTGTGATTTTTGGCATTTTCTTTTTGCTGGTTTACTTCCAATTTCCAGCAAAAGTGCCCATTGTGTACAATGCATTCGTTTAACAAACTCAGCATTCATTTAATGATCACAGCGTTGCGTTAACAGCCATTGCATAAAAGGTTATAAAATCAGGCACAGGGCAGTGATCTGCTTAATGACAATTCTGGGGTTAATTATCACCATTCGTTGAGGACTATCTGCATGACGTTTGCTGTTGCTGTAGAGCAACATTCACTAGGAGTGTCTGTGGCTGGCCTAATTTGGCTCGCTATAACTGAATCAGCTCAAAATTGCCACCATAATTCTTTGGGGTCTTTCCTTTCAAAATTTGCCACCATAATTTCTTTGGGGTCTCCAAACTTGGCAACTTTAAGACTTTTGGACTTCAATTCCCAGAATTCCTTAGCCAGCCATGTTTTAAATGAGAGAAAGCAATCTCCCCTTGGATACACAATTTGCTAATTCTTCCATGAGCAGCAAAATGGGAACATATCAACATATATGTCAAAAATCTTGGGTTTAGCAATCAGAGATCTCCTGTCTCAATCCACTGAACTTTGCTTTGGATCCCAATTCCTGGGCTGCTATTTCTGCTGTTCTTCCCCCTTCCAGAAATTTAATCTCTCATCAGTTTCCCCTTCTGAAAATTCTCCCAATTTTCTCCATTTTCTGCAGCACCACCGTTTCATTGCCGATAGCAAAGACAAGGAACCTGAAGTGGTCTTTATTGGGGACTCCCTGGTACAACTGCTGCACCAGTTTGAGGTAAAGTGTCTTGGAAAGAGTCTCTGGAAAAATCAAATGGATCCATCGGTCTTATCGTCTGCTCATTCGCCTTTTTTTTCCTCCTCCAGATTTGGAGGGAGCTTTTCTCCCCGTTGCATGCCCTCAACTTTGGCATTGGGGGCGATGCCACTCAGCACGTGCTCTGGCGCCTGCAGAATGGAGAACTGCAACACATCCGTCCAAAGGTAAGTAGATGGCGGCTGATGAAGTAGGCCTCAAGCCCAAGATCCTCTACCTACAGTTCTTAAAAATGTTACTCAGCCCTGCTCCCTATATATTTATTTTTTATCCTGTCTTTATTATTCTTACAAGTGACTCAAGGCCGTGAACATATCCAACACTCCTTCCTCCTCCTGTTTTCCCCACAACAATCCTGACAGGTGGGTTGGGCTAGGAGTGACTGGCCCAAAGTCCTCCAGTGGGCTTTTATGTCTAAGGCAGGACTAGAACTCACCGTCTCCCACTTTCTAGCCTGGTGCCTTAAATACTAAACCAGGGGTAAGCAACCGTGGCTCTTTTATGACTCATGGACTTCAACTCCCAGAATTCCTGAGCCAGCATGGGGGAACTATGGCCCCCTCATGACTCGTGGACTTCAACTCCCAGAATTCCCCAGTCAGCATGGGGGAACTATGGCCCCCTCATGACTCGTGGACTTCAACTCCCAGAATTCCTGAGCCAGCATGGGGGAAACTTTGGCCCCTTCATGACTGGTGGACTTCAACTCCCAGAATTCCTGAGCCAGCATGGGGGAACTATGGCCCCCTCATGACTCGTGGACTTCAACTCCCAGAATTCCCCAGTCAGCATGGAACTATGGCCCCCTCATGACTCGTGGACTTCAACTCCCAGAATTCCTGAGCCAGCATGGGGGAAACTTTGGCCCCTTCATGACTCGAGGACTTCAACTCCCAGAATTCCTGAGCCAGCATGGGGGAACTGTGGCCCCCTCATGACTCGTGAACTTCAACTCCCAGAATTCCTGAGCCAGCATGGGAGAACTGTGGCCCCCTCATGACTCATGGACTTCAACTCCCAGACTTCCTGAGCCAGCATGGGGGAACTGTGGCCCCCTCGTGACTCATGGACGTCAACTCCCAGAATTCCTGAGAATTCCTGAGCCAGCATGGGGGAACTGTGGCCCCCTCATGACTCATGGACTTCAACTCCCAGAATTCCTGAGCCAGCATGGGGGAACTGTGGCCCCCTCATGACTCATGGACTTCAACTCCCAGAATTCCTGAGCCAGCATGGGGGAACTGTGGCCCCCTCATGACTCGTGAACTTCAACTCCCAGAATTCCTGAGCCAGCATGGGAGAACTGTGGCCCCCTCATGACTCATGGACTTCAACTCCCAGAATTCCTGAGCCAGCATGGGGGAACTGTGGCCCCCTCGTGACTCATGGACGTCAACTCCCAGAATTCCTGAGCCAGCATGGGGGAACTGTGGCCCCCTCATGACTCATGGACTTCAACTCCCAGAATTCCTGAGCCAGCATGGGGGAACTGTGGCCCCCTCATGACTCGTGAACTTCAACTCCCAGAATTCCTGAGCCAGCATGGGAGAACTGTGGCCCCCTCATGACTCATGGACTTCAACTCCCAGAATTCCTGAGCCAGCATGGGGGAACTGTGGCCCCCTCGTGACTCATGGACGTCAACTCCCAGAATTCCTGAGCCAGCATGGGGGAACTGTGGCCTCCTCGTGACTCATGGACTTCAACTCCCAGAATTCCTGAGCCAGCATGGGGGAACTGTGGCCCCTTCATGACTCGTGGACTTCAACTCCCATAATTCCTGAGCCAGCATGGGAGAACTGTGGCCTCCTCGTGACTCATGGACTTCAACTCCCAGAATTCCTGAGCCAGCCATGCTGAGGGAAAAGGGAGGTTTCCGTACTGAGCCATGCTAGCTCAGGAACTCTGGGAGTTGAAGTCCACGAGTCATAAAAGAGCCAAGGTTGCCTAGCCCTGCACTAGACCAAACTGGCTCTCATATATACTTTCTTAATGGAAGCATCAAATGGGAATCAAAGAGAAAGGGCAAGCTAAATAACCTGCGAGTATGTATGCAATCCGTAAAGATATACCCATTTAGTTTTTCCTACCTCCTCCCTCTCCTTTAATTCTTCTGCGTAATAATTAGGAAGAACAAACAGTCTGAGATTATCTGGGATTCGTTGCACATTTAAAGACCTGCCTGAAACTTTTTCTTAAAAACATTTAATTATAAAATGCTATACAGTACCTCTATGGCAGTGTTTCTCTATGGGTGGCTGCGGAATTCTGGGAGTTGAAGTCCATACATCTTAAAGTTGCCAAGGTTGGGAAACTCTGCTTTATGGGTTGTGTAAAGACTCCCCAAAATATAGCCTTGTCCATATAAAGATCCAGAATGACCACTTTTATAGCAGCAGGCCTTGTGTTGTTGAAACACAACACAAGAGGATGTGGTGTTTCAAGAGCCAGCTTTCCTGTTGTGGTGCTAGATAGGTAGCTGTGCCGAAAAGCAAGGACGTCGTTAATGACTTCCTTTCACCCAAGCATCTTGGGTCACTTTCCACACCCAGAACTTGGAAACAGTTCTTTTCCTCCTTCTCGTTGGTTCCAGATTGTGGTACTCTGGGTGGGCACCAATAACCACGGACACACTGCAGAACAGGTGGCTGCTGGCATAGAAGCCATTGTGCGTGTCATCAATCAGCAACAACCCCAGGCCCGCGTGGTTGTATTGGTGAGTTCCAAGCCCGGCTCAGTCTGATAAGAATGCTTTTAAAAAATGCCATCTTTTCGACTGGGCTGGGTTTCATGCTGCCCTGTAACATTAAGCCAGAATCATATTGGCCAAAGAAACTAGAATGATGTGGCTTGCAATATAGGGCTACCTTCATATTTATGAAGCTTATAGAAGTGGTCCTCAATTTATGGCTGCAATTGAGCCTGGTGTTATGGCTCTAAGCCATGGCTGTCATTAAGCGGGTCACCATGCCCAAGTTTATGACTTTTGCAGTGGTAATAATAATAATGATGATGATGATGATGATGTTGAAAGGGACCTTGGAGGTCATTGAGTCCAACCCCCTGCTCAGGCAGGAAACCCTACACCACTGCAGTTATTAAATTAAGCCATTTTCTTCTATGGCTGTTTCTTGCTGGAAACTGGAATTAAATTTAGAAACTGGCAAAAAAAAAAATGATGCCAAAAATCATGGTCACGTGACCACAGGTGTTGCAAATGTCCATAAATGGAAGCTAATTGCCAAAGCACCCTAATTGTGATCACATGACTATATACGTGTCCATCAGAACTCCAGAACCAGCTTTTTAGTAGTCCTGGGGAGGTGTATGAAAGGCATTGTCAACCTGCCGGCCTGTAGGCTGGATGCGTCACGCCGAAACTGCGCCCACCCCATTTCCCACCCCAATGGGAAAAAGTCACAATACATCGCGCGACATGACGTCGCGAGTTTGACATGCCTGGTGTATCAGAACTTGGGACAGTCACTAAGCGAGAACTACTAGCAGTAAACAAAGACTACCGTAAATGGTGGCGTACAAGGCGACCCGGCGTATAAGACGACCCCCGCCTTTATAGCCGGGCCGCATTCCTAGAACGTCGTCTTATACGCCGGAAACTACCAGTATTTCCGGCGTATAAGACGACCCCCGTCTTTGGCGCCGATTTCAGCACTCGCGGAAGTCGTCTTATACACCGGCATTTACGGTACTTTCCCAGGTCACTGAGCCCAGCTGATGGAACATTCACACGTTGCATCGGCTTAGCAAGCAACCCCTTTGTGACTTAGAATCTTGCAATAAGCAGACCGGGGTCTTTTCTGTATCCTGCACAGGGTTTGCTGCCACGGGGCAAAACCCCCAACCCGTTACGAGAGAAGAACAGAAGGGTGAACGAATTGCTCGAGGTTAAGGTGCCGCTGCTCCCCAATGCCTCTTTCCTCAATGTTGACCCGGGCTTTGTGCATTCAGACGGGACTATAAGTCACCATGACATGTACGACTACCTCCACCTGACCCGCAACGGATATGCCAGACTCTGCCCTGGGCTGCATCGCCTGCTGCTGTGCCTGCTGGGAGAATGCCATGCTCAGACACCTTGATGGATGCCGTCAATCACACCTCAAGCGTGCTTGTCATTGGCTTGAATGACGGCAGGAGGCTTAGAAGCTAGATTATCAGCTGTTCTCAACTGTGCCAACTTTTAAGATAAGTGGACTTCAACTCCCAGAATTCTGGGGGTTAAAAGTCCACCCGTCTTAAAAGTTGCCACGGTTGAAAGAACCCGCTCCAGAGTGCCAAAATAGTTTCCCACCCATGTTCTGCCTGGTATATGGAACTGAGCACTTCTTTACTAACTCCATAAGCCTCAGTGTGGGTTTTCTGGCAAGGCATGGGAATGGATGGCACAATGACCTACAGCTGCCAAAAAGAAAAAGTTTGGCAGAAGACTTAATGGGAACTTATGTGTTTTTACGTAATAAAAATAACCTGAAATTTCTGGGCAGAGGTTTTGTGTTTTTTTACCTATTAACTTGAGTTTCAGACAGGTAATGTGCTAATGGGGCGAGTCATTTGTCACGCCTGGCTTACACTGAAAATAGGTTTTCCTGGAAGCAATTAGCAACAATTTGCATACCAAGTCTTTTACGTTTTGGAGAATTTGTTCTTGCCCTCTGCAGCAAGCTTTTCCTGGTTGCTGTCTTTTTGAATTCTTTAGTTTTATCTTCACGAAGTTGAAAAGAAGAGGCTGTTTATGCTTTTTTTAAAAAGCCAGCCTATATAGCAGGTATGGGGAATGATGGCCCTTTTATAACTGGTAGATTTCAACTCCCAGAATTCCTGAGCCAGTCAATCAAGTCCACAAACCCTGAAGGGGCCATTGGTCCCCACATCTGCTTTATAGGGACAACCATACATAGCTTAACAGCTGTGCTGCAGAACCATGTTAACAGTTGACTCTCTCAACTGAACTTTGTAAGCAATATATTTATTTCCCATCCCATTTCTCTGGGAAAAAAGTGCGAACATTAGGTGCCTTGTGGCCGAAGACACAGTATCAACTTGAGTTTAATTAGCCTAGTTCAGGGGTAGGCAACCTTGGCTCTTTTATGACTCGTGGGCTTCAACTCCCAGAATTCCTGAGTCAGCCATGCTGAGGGGAAAGGGAGAGGTTTCCAAGCTGAGCCATGCTGGCTCAGGAATTCTGGGAGTTGAAGTCCACGAGTCATAAAAGAGCCAAGTTTGCCTACCCCTGGCCTAGGAGACTCACCACTTAGAACAGGAGGACTTAGGACAGGGCTAGGCCACCTTGGCTCTTTTATGACTTGTGGACTTCAACTCCCAGAATTCCTGAGCCAGCCATGCTGAGGGGAAAGGGGGAGGTTTCCAAGCTCAGCCATGCTGGCTCAGGAATTCTAGGAGTTGAAGCCCACGAGTCATAAAAGAGCCAAGGTTGCCTACCCCTGCCTAGTTGGCTGGATCTGCAGACCTCCTGGATTGCTGCATGGTGGGCTACATTGGGGCAGTAACTAAAAAGCTGCCGGGGTAGTTTGATTTCATTTCAAGATGGAGGAAGAATTTTTCCTTCCTCACTGCTTGCAAAATGCGATAAGGGGTCGCAAAGCGATTCCAACCTCCATGCCACATCTAACTGATGCGCTAGAAGGGCTCGGTTTCAAAACATAGGCAGTCCTCAACGTAGGACCACAATTGAGCTCAACATGTCGCCAAGCAAAACAATTGCTGAGTTTTGCCCCACTTTACGACTTTTCTTGCCACGGTCATTAAATTAATTGCTGCAGCTAAGTAACGGCTATTAAGGGACTCTGCTTTCCCCATCGGCTTTTCTCGGGTGAAGGTTGCAAAAGTTTCACGCTGCGACTGTCATAAATACGTTGCCGCTTGTCACGCGTCTGACTTCTGATCAGGTGGCCAAGGGGATGCTACAACAGTCGAAAAGTGTGAAAAACGGTCGTTTTAAGTCTCTCTTCAGTTCCCTCGTAGCTTTAAATCAGTGTTTCTCAACCTTGACAATTTTAAGGCATGTGGACTTCAACTCCCAGAATTCCACAGCCAGCGTTGCTGGCTGTGGAATTCTGGGAGTTGAAGTCCACATGCCTTAAAATTGTCAAGGTTGAGAAACACTGCTTTAAATGGTCACTAAGCGAATGGTTTGTAAGTTGAGGATTACCTACAGGCACAATTCCAGAGATCTGCATCGTGGTGCTGCAGGAACGTTTTTTGTTTCAAAGACCCGAAGACCAGATTGTGTTCCCACTGCTGTGGCAAATAACACAAGGGGCAGCTGAGAAGCTGCCCCAAGCTTAAAACCTGCCCGAAGGAACGTCTCCAGCTCCCGACCTTCCAACAGACCTTACCCCAAACATGTGAAGCGTACCTTGGCACCTGCAAGGATGGGAAAAGCCAAGTCAGCAGCCAAAAGGGCTGAAGGACCGAGATGGCCCAACGCCCCAAAAGGGTCGCGTCGAAGAACGTGGGGGACGCCGAAGGGATGGATTCTCCGCACGTACCGAAATTCTACAACCGGACCAGATTGTTAAAGAGCTTTAATAGTATGTGAGGTGGGGCCACCCCAATACAGAAGGGGTTACACATGGTCAACATGTGGCTGTGGCCACCAGGGCGCTCACACTTGGGAGGGGAGCTTGCCAGGCCAGCCCCCCCTCTCCAAGACCCCTCTTAACTCCCGTCCAGATTTAGGCTGTGCCACACGCAAACGTCTCTCATTGTTCCTCTCTTGGCATGGCCAAACTCCACGGGGCCCTGGCCGTGGCCCGGATGGACTTTCTTCTTCTCCTTCTGGCTCCTCCAGTGACCCGGTTTGCCCAATGACCAAAAGCGATCCCCTGTCTGGGAAGGCCAAGCCTCCTTTCTTCCTTCCCGCTGCAAGGATGGATGGACAAGGCTCCCCTCCCCACCCCGCCCCCGCCCCCCACTGCCCCGATGACTGGACACAGAAGCAACAGGTAGGTGGGATCTCCAAATACGTGTAACATTATTTGACATGGGGAAATCAACACGAGGTCTGTCATTTTACAGGGGTGGGTTGGTGCTCCTGGGGGGGGGAGGGCTCTCGCAGCCCCGCCCCGGCCGTCTCCTGGCCTGCGTCCTGGAATGGTGGATAGGTCAGCAGCAGCACCACCACGTTGGGAGTTCTTGGGAGGAGGAAGGTGCCACAGCCCTTCCGTGTCGGATCAGAACGGCGGAAGAGGCCTGCAAGGAGCCCAGGCAGTGTCTACAGGTGGCAGAAGCTTCTCCCGTACAGTCACAGGAGAGACCAGGTGAAGTTAGCAAAGGGAGGGACACCGGTGAGGAGCAGGACAAGGGTGGGGGGAAAGCCCTGGGGCTCCCCCACCCTCCACGCGGCTGCTTTTCTCGCTTGCTGCTGGCTGCGCTTCATCTGCTGCTGCTGGTGGTGGCGATGGTGCTGGTGGGGGCAGTGCTACTACCAGCCGTCCCCGGAGAAGACTGCTGGTTAGAGTCCCAGCCAGCGGCTGTAGTGGAAGGGCTGGCTGTTGGGGGGGCAGCCTCTGTGCTTTGGGCCGAGTCTTGTGGGAGGCTCAGTTCCACCAGCTGTCCCTCTGCGGTGCTGCTCGGGGTGCCTCCGGGCTCCGGCGTGCTTGGGGCTTGTTCTGTCGGATTGGCTGCCTGCATAATCTTCTGCCTCACTTCCCGGATTTTGAGTTGTAAGCAGACCTTGGTGGGGAATATGTCAGAGTAGCGAGCTTGGAAAGCTGCGGTGGCTTGGGCTGTCAAAAGGAAAAAGAAAAAAAAAATCAGCAAGGCTCACATAAAATTGAGAACAAATGGGATGGTGGTGTTGTGATTCCTCGCTAGCCCGGCAGCTGAGTCTGGGGAATCAGAGGAGGAGGAGGAGGGGCCTGGAGTGACATCAGAGTCAGAGGAAGGCTCTGAGGAGCTCCAAGACTTACAGTCTGAGGAGGAGCCTGGCCCCTCCACTCGCGCTCAGGCTGAGACACAGCTGTGCTGGGAGCCTGAGTTGGACAGTGATGAAGAACAGTTGGGACAAATCCCGGATGCACAAATGCGAAGGCAAGAGAAGCGAGTAGGACAGAGGGATGCAATGGGGCGGCTCCAAAGGCAAAGGAGAAGGCATTAGGAAGCCTAATAAAAGGGAAGGTGTGGCAGGTGCTGGTTGCCGAAGGCAGCCATTCGTGTTGAGGATCGGGTTTCTGTGGACTGTGTTTGTTTGCCTTGGACACTGACTCAGGTCTATGAATAATAAAAGGGGTTTGGGTTTTTCCTGCGGTTCCAGCCTGCTTGATTGGAAGAGGGGTTTCTCCTTATGAGCAGAACAAGGACTCACGTGGGCTGGGACAGAACAGATAGTAAGGGAGGAAGCTCCCTGTACAGGTCATCCTCGACTTATGACCACAATTGAGCCCCAACTTTCCGTGGCTAAGCAAGACCGTTCTGGCGTGAGTTTTGCCCCATTTTACAAATGGCCATGCTTTCAAATGGTCACGCTTGTTAAGTGAACCACTGCAATTGTCAAATTCGTAACATGTTTGTTTGTTCAGTGAATCTGGCTTTTCCCCCACTGAGTTTGCTTGTCAGAAGATCACAAAAGGTGACGTGACCCCGGGACGCTGCAACCATCATAAATAGGAGTCCTTTGTCAAATATCTGAAGTCTAATCACGCAACCACGGGGATGCTGCAATGGCCGTGTGAAAAGCGATTTAGGTTACTTTTTTCCAGTGCCACTGTTAATTTGAATGGTGATTAATATGAATGGCTGTGAGGTGAGGACAACTGTACAGGAAAATCTTTTCCCTGGTCTTCAGCTCCCAGAATTCTCCAGCCAGCATCGCCACGCATTTTAAAGTGGCCCAGCTTGGGAAACACCGCCCTAGAGGGTGATTTCTTAAAGCCTTTTTTCCCCAACTCAACAATCCAGAAACCTGCAGAAATGAGTCCACTCTGGCCTGCAGCTTTCAAGACAGCCCTTCCCTCCCCAGCCAAGTCCGAAATTCGTCAAAAGCATCTCCTGCTTTATTTAAAAAAAGAGAAAGAAGCAAGCTGCCATTTTCTTTAGCACAGCCAAGAAGACCCAGCTGGAGTTACTCTCGGAAATCCAGAACCCTCTGATACTCAAGACGGCCATTCAGTTGGAAGCCAGACAGGGCCAAAGCAGCGAATCGGAGTCTAAAGCTGGTCACTCCAAGGCCACTCCATGCCTCAAACTTCCCCCCAAACCCTCCTACCTGAAGGGAAGAAGCCATGATCCTGGAAGAGCTGCATGACTAAAGCCCTCCTCTGATCCAAGGTACGTCGGAGTGAAGAGTAGGGCACCTTCTCGTATTCCAGTTCTCCCAGTACATCTTCCGTGTCTGTGCCTACGGAGAGATAGACACTGCTAGAAGAGGGAGCCTGTAAATTCCTTGCCAATTTCTAAGGAGGCCCATCTAACAGGATCAAGAAGGGCCTTCTCCGTGGTGGCTCCCTCCCTAAGAAA